AAAAAAAAATGAAATGGTAAAAAATTAAAAAATATATAGTTAAAAAAAAAAAAAAAAAAAAAAAAAAAAAAAGCATAAATTGTTAAATCTCATAATAAACTTAGTTTAAAAATGAAAATAATTTACTTAAAGTCATAAAAATAATTTAAAAAATATGAATATCTATATTTGAAAACAAGTAATATTTATATATATAATCTAAATAACATTTATAAGAATATTTAAATTTTAAAAAAAATCTATAAACTAAAAATGTATAATACTTAAAAGGATAATGTAATTTTACTTACTTATATTTAGTTGTTTATCGAATAAAGCAAAATATATATATAGAAAGAGGGATAAAGAAATGCATAAAAAATGTTTTCTTAAATATATGATTTTAGATAAAAAGTAACATGTATGTATAAATGAATATATATAAAATAAATAGTAACTAATATTAATTAAAAAATGTGTATCTTTTTTTTTTTTTTTAATTTAATTTTTAAAAATATAATTTAATGAAATACAGAAAATCATTTAATGTTTTTGAAATATATTTTCCTTTTAATATAAGCTAATTTAACTCAAAGGAGTAAGATTCTTTTAATCATAATTTTTATGAATGAATCATTATATATAACTTTAATGAAATACTTAAAATCCTTTTAATTTTTACAAAATACGTAAGTGGTATAATGTTGTTAAAATTTTTTTTCTTTTATATTTGATCTTTACCTTCATCTACATATTTATTTTTAATAAATTACATTAAACATACATTTTATTTTTTTTATTTATTTGCACTATTTAATTGATAAATAATTTTTTTTACTAGATTATTTATTTTTTATTTTTATACATCTAGATAACTACTTATTTTTTTTTTTTTTTTTTTTTTGAATTTTCTTATTTCTCTTAATAATAATTTTGATTAATTATTATTTAAATAGTAATTTCTTTTTTTATGTCTTTAATATTTTATAATACATGTTAATGAATTAATAAAAATAAAACTATATTATTTATTTACTCTTTATATAACTTTTTCTTAGTTTAATCTTTTTTTTTATCACATTTATTATAATTTTGAAGATGACCCGATTCTTTTATTTTAGTATTTTCATCTGCAATTTCATTTTTCTCTTGTTCCTGTTTTTGAGAGAGTGTTTGATTTCTATTTTTATCTACTTTATAAATACATCTTTGATAAATATAACAAAGAAATATAATGTCATCACGGAAGCATGATAATTTATGCATCCATGGCATATCAATCAAAAAAAAAGCAACATCATCTATAAAAGTATTTAGTGATTTATATATTAGTGCTTTCCATGGTAAGTGTTCAACTGATTTCAGTTTATAATTAATATAAAGTTGAGGTGTCATCATAACAAAACCAAATGTGTAAACAGTTCCAGCTAATACTGAAATAATATAAGAATACCATGACTTATATTTATAATGAAAAAGAGAGTAAATAGCATAACCAATAAAACAAGGTATTAAAACAATTCCCACATATTTTATAGCTATTTTATCATATTTTTTAGTCATAGATTCAGTATAATTTTTTTTATCTTTTATAATTATATATGGATATTTTTTACTAAAAGAAATATGAACTGCTTTTGTTACTTTCCAGGCAGATAATGCAACACCTATAAACATTTCAAATAATAATAACCAAGAAGTATTTTCTGAATCATATAAATATAAAGCTAATATAATGTCACACACAAAAGTGGTTATTACACTAAGTGCTGACAACCCTTCCATAGATTCGTTTTGATACCAAAATTGCATATCATTTTTGAAGGCGAAAAATGAGAAAATAGAATGTAGTAATATAAAGAGAAATGAAAAAATTAACATATAAATATTAGTAGTCATAAAAATTTTTTTCATCATATTAATTTCTTTTGTTGCTGTTGTGTTTGTTATATTCTGAATTGAAAAACCATTATTTTGTTCCATTTTTGATAAAGAACTACTCATTTGTTTTGTAAACATAAAATACATAAAACTACATGTACTATAATTTATTACAATATTTAGTTTTTTATTCTCATCTTCATTTCTCTCTATTATAAAATTATAATCATCATTTTTTAAAATATATGGATCATATTCACAAACATAATTTGTCCTTTTATCTTTATCTTTTAATAACTGATCATCCAATACATAGTAGTCAGATTCTATTAACCAAAAATCTGATAAATAAATTGGAGGTGTATATGTTTTTGTATTTAAGTTAATTTTCCAGTTTTTCAAATGTGGCATATTAAAGTCATTAATTCGATGTTTTCCTTGATCATATATAATATTAATATCTATTCTTTTTTTTATATGATATAACTCTTTTTTAATTTTTTCTTCAGATTTCTTGTAATCTCTTGTTATCAAATTATATTTTTCATCTTCTTCTGACTCAAATGGAAACATCTTTATAGTTAAAGGTATATTATCCACTAAAACTTGATCTTTAAATTCATCTTTTATAATGCTATCACTTAAAGGATAATTACGTTTTTCATAAAAGTATATAGGTATTACAGCAACACTTATATATTTTTCACCATTCCATGAATCATTTAAATAAAAACTATAATCAATATTTTCATATTTACTAAATTTTTTATATATATATAATTCTTTTTCTTTTACATGAATTAATGTACTATTTCTTTTTAAATATTCAAAATCTATAGAATGATTATTACTTAAAAATATAAATACGTCAAATATATCACCATGTTCAAAACTATTTTTTAAAAATAAATTATTCCCTTCTATTGTTCCACCTCTTTGCATTATTTTATTCTTTCCTCCTGATATAAAATACATAACTAAATGCATAATTAGCATTTGAACGATAATTGATATTAACTTTTGAAAAAAAGGTACTCTCTGATTTTCATTGGCATTAGGATTATTTGAATTGTTAACTTCATTATTTGTAGGAGTTGGAATACTTAACGAAGAACCCATTTTTTTTTTTTTTTTCAAAAGATTTATCTTTTACACACAAAATTACGAAAATTAATATTTTTGATATAATTAAATATATTATATATTTTAATTATTCTTAATTTTATTTTTTAATGAAAAATAATCACCCATATATAGATGTACTTAATTAAAAATTTATTTATATTCTCTTCTTTATTTATTAATGCATATATATCTCTTCTTTGTTTTCATAATATACTTAATTATATATATATATATATATATATATATATATAAATTAATATGTTTTTTTTTTTTTTAAAAGGGGTTTTTATAGGAAGTATATGCATACATACAATATATTCAACATTGATGTTACATATATTTTTTTTATATGTTAACAATTAAAATTTAAAATAGCCATTTAATAATTCCTACGTCATGCTGAAACTTAAAAATATTAAATACATATTTATTTATTTTTTTTTAAACGAAATATTAATAAAGCAGAAATCTCATGAACTGTTTTTACAAATAAAAAAAAAAATTGAAAATTTTCATTGATTCTTCTATATATATCTAAAAGATTAATTAAAAAAAATATATATATATTTATAATTATTTTAAATTATTTAATTTTGTTACATCCTTAAGAATATATCTATAGAATAATCATTGCATAATCTTGTTTTCATTTCTCTTAATTTCTATTTTTTTACAAAATACTATTAAGTGGGACTATCATCCAGATTTTACGCTTTTTATAATTAAATTTGAATTTAAAAACATTATTAAATAAAAAGTGAAAAAGAATATTAATAATTTTTTTTTTTTTTTTTTTTTATATAAGTATTTTATAACGTATTATTTTTAAATTTAAAAAAAAAAAAAAAAAAAAAAATTAATATGCACGCATAATGGGGAAAAATAGAAAAAGATAAATTTTTTATGAAGTTCATTAAAATTATAAGTCATACTATCTTAATATATGTATTATTTATACAAATTAACATAAGCAACTTTTTAAGATAATTCATTAAATAATGTAATAAAAATTAAAAAGAAGTTTTAAGTTTCAAGCATATATGTATTTTTTTTTTTTTTACTATATTAAAAAAATATTTTTTAAATAGATCTAAGGTGAGAAATTTACTTATGAACAATAAAAAAAAAAAAAAAAAATATAATTAGTAAACTATTTTTAAATTAATTTTTTTTTTTAATATATTTATTATATAATTGTATTATTATATTTATGTATGTTAAAATTAAAAAAAAGGATGTACCTTAAATAATACCAATTATTTTTTAATATTTCAAATGAAAAAAATTAAAAAAAAGAATAGTTTTAGTGTAAACAAATTTTCTCCTTTTTTCCAAACTAAAACATTTGAATGTCATAAAATAAAATTCATTTGATTCTTTTTTTTTTTTTTTCTTATGAAATAATTTTTATTAATAATATAGATTTTCCTATTATAAATTAATGAATTGAATTTAGAAATAATGTTTTCTTTTTTTGCCTGCTTATGTAATATTTTAATTGATAATTTCCATATTTATATCTTTTTTATTAATAAAAAAAAAAAAAAACTTATGAAAGGAAAATACAATATGTATATTTATTTAATATATTTATTACAGTTTTCCATGTAAATTGTTTTAAAACAATATACATATTTATACATAAGGTTTTTATTAACATAACAAATAAATAATGAATTTCCTTTTATATAGAAAAAAATTTATTATAATTTATACCTCTTCTAAAAAATACATGTAAATTTTATATAATATGTGAAAATATAATTAATTCCAAATCAAAAGTTTTCCAAGAATTATTATATTTAAGTAATTTATGCTTTTGTTTTAATAAGCTGTCCAAATAAATTAAATTTTATGTTTTTTCAAATTTTTTATTTAAAACGTTATAAAAAAAAAAAAAATAATGACAATTTTTTAAATTATTGAGTCTATAAATTTAGACGAATAATAAATCATGTAATTTCTCTTCTCTTTTTTTTTAACAAAATTAATATAAAGACATAAATGTATTTTCAAAATACAATTAGTATTACTAATATTGTAAATAAATATAAAAAAAAAAAAAGAGAAAAATGTAAATATATTTATTAAAAAATAAAATATATTTGTATATATATATATTAATTCTGTAATAAAAACAAAAAAAAAAAAAAATAAAAAGCAATAAATAAAAAATGAAAAAATGAAATATATTTTATCATTTAAAAAAAGAAGAATAAATAAATTATTTAAATATAATATAGTCATATATTATAAAGTTGTAATTTATAAAAAGTGATATAATGAAATATAAATTTTTTATTATTTTTTTTTTTTTTTTTGTGTGTTAATTAATTGTTTGCTAAAGTTTTAGCTAGAACTCTTCCTCTGCCACATGAAATATCACATACTTTTTCGTCATTAAATAATTTAGAATCCACTAATGTAGGTTCATTATGATTTTTTTTATCTCCTAAAGCTAAACAGGAAGAATTATGCTTTCCCCAAGAGTACAATTTATTATCAGATAAAAGCATTGAATAATAGTAGGAACTTCCTCCAGCGTCTATTTTTTCAATGTCACTTTTAATCACACTATTTTCATATTTAGGATTTAATGTTATAGCTTTTGGTTCTAGCCATGCTCTTGCACCCCAAAAATATATAATATTATTTTCTGAACATGCAATCATATGATTATCCCCACAAGCTATTAATTTTATTTTAACATTTTCAATTTCAAAATATTTAACTTTATTTGGATATACTTCATGAGAATATAAATCTCCAATACTATTTTCGATACCCAATTGCCCATAATCATTTCTTCCCCAAACATAAAGTTCCCCATTTACAGATAAGGCAGCAGAGAAACTATGACCACAACAGATATTTTTAATAATTATGTTGTTACTAGTAAAAAATTCAATTTCTTCAAAAAATAATTGATCTCCATGGTTTCCTCTGCCTAATCTTCCAAATTCTCCTCTTCCGCATCCATATACTTTTCCGTTTTTTGTTAATACAAGACTATGTTGATCACCACAGCAAATATCAACAAATTCTGTATCTTCATTTTTAAATGATTCTACTTTTTTGGGGTAAATAATATTTTCTTTATTACCTTGTCCTAATCCATTTGCACCTTTAAAAAAATTTCCTCCCCAACCCCAACTGTATAAATCATTATTTTCATCAATAGCTAAAGTATGTTTAAATCCACAACAAACATTTTTAAATTTCACATTATTCGATATATTAACTTCTTTTGGAATTAAGGAATAATTTTTTTGTTTTTCATTTTCATCCAATTGTCTACCTAATTGGCCTTTATCATTTAAACCGTATGTGAAAATTTTTCCATCTACTATAAAAGCTGCATGATTACAACCAGCAGATAATTTCTCAATATTTGAATTTTCAAAATTTGATATTTTCTCAGGCAATTTGTTTTTTTCTCCAACTTTTACTGAAGAAAATATACTATCACCTGTACATCCCCATCGCCATAAGTTATACTTTTTCTCTTTTTCTTCCACATTTGTTTTATTACTAAAAAACTTTACATCATATTTTAAATAAAAATTTTTTTCTTTTAATCTTTTACAAATTTTTAACATTTTAAAATTTTTTTATTTCTTATGTTTAAAAAAAGGATATATGTATTTACTCCTGAAGAATTATTAAGATATCATATGTTCTTTTTGATTTTTGTTATTTTTTTTTAATACTTTCATATAATAGTATAAGAAATTTAAATTACCATCTCGTTAATAATTTATTTATGTCGTTCAATATTTACTGAATATTATGTGGCATATAAATAATTATATTTCAGTGTACTAATGATAAAAAGAAATATTTTTAAAAAATTGAAAGTACATGTTTATATATAGATTTAAATAAAAAATAAAGCAAATTAAAAATCAAAAAAATAACATTAATTAGAAAGAAATTATGGTAACAATTTTTTTTTTTAAATTCATGGAATAAATATAAAAAAAAAATATTTTATTTTAAACATGAATTTTCTTGTACATCTCTTTTCAGTGAAGAAAAATAGGGTATATTATAAAAACATTATTAAATCAATTTTTTCTATTTTAATAAAATGAAGAATACATATATAATTTTAATGGTTTTTTTGTTTTTTTTTTTTTTTTTTTTTTTTTTAAATAATAGAAGAGAAAGTTTTGTACTTAATAATAAAAAAATAAAAAAAAAGTGTAATGTTTAAACAAAACAAATTAATAGATAATATAATGTTATTTTTACTTTTGTTTTAATTTTTTCTTTTTCTTTTTATTTTTTTGAAAAAGAAGTATATCTTTAAAATTAAGTATTTCAACTATTGAATAGTCAAAGAAATTAGGGTATAATATAAATATGCAAATTATTTTTATGACGTATATATAATTTAAATTTTACAAAAAAAAAGGGATATATATTTTTTACTTATATACGATATTATATAAAATGAAAAAGAGTTGCTTAAAAATCAAAATAAAAACAAAAAAAATATATGGAAAAAATTAAGTTTTCCATCTTAACATGCATATATTTTTCTAATTATTTTTAAAATAATAATAATTTACCTTAACTTTTTTAATATACGTAGTTTCTCATAAAATATGAAAATATTACCAACTAGCTTTTACAAAACCAGGAAAAAACATTTTTTGTATCAATGCTCGTGCTTGATGTCTACATAAGCCAAAAAATTTGTAGTATCCTCTTGCCCTTCCTAAAAAAATTAATTATAATTTAATTAATATATATATATATATAATCTGTATAGATTAATGAATAAATATATATATATTTTCTTCTTCTATTAATTTTAAAAAGTATAAATATATATATTTTTTAAGAACCTGTTATTGCACATCTATTTCTGTATCTAACTGGGCAAGAATCTCTTGGCAATCTAGAAAGTTTATATTTCCAGTAGACATATTCAATAGGTGATGATGCTTCAGATATATATTTTTTTAATAGGTCTCTCTTTTCTTTATATCTTTCAATAAGATATTTCCTCTTTAAATTCCTCTGAATTTTTGCTTCATGTCTTTTTATCACTGTATATTTATTACTTGGGTCTAACCTTTTTTTTAAATTTAAATGAATTATTCTTTTTAAATAATTTTTACTTCTTCCGTTTTTATAAATTTTGTAATTATTTATAAAAAATTGAAAAGAGTATTGATGATTAATGCAAAAAAATTGTGTATCAACTAATATTAAATAAGCAAGAAAATATTTAATAAAGTTCAACATTTCACATTCTCAAAAATATAAAATATATATAAAAAAAAAAAAGGTACTTGTATATAAAATATTTTTGTATAATATAATGATAAATTAAATCTTGCATAATTTTTATTATTTTAAAGAGTAAACTTTTATTTATTAATGAAAAGGGAAAAAAAAAAAAAAAATTCTAAAATATTATAAAAAATATTTAGATATCTTTTTTGTATTTTTTCTTTTTTCTTTTTATAATAATCATTTATCAATTTAATACTGTTTATTCAATGCATCACTAAAATAGAGAGTAATATTATTCAGGTTATGCTCATATGAAGTTCATTATTTCTTTTATATTCAAATTTAATACTTAAAATATTTTTTTTTAAAAATTATTTATTTGTATTTTTATTCACTATTAAAAAAAAAAAAAAAAAAAAAAAAAAAAAAAAAAAAAAAAAATATGACATATATTAAAAAAAAAAAAAATAAGAGGAACTTCAAAATAATAAAAAGTTTTATTAAAAAAATGATTATATAATTTGATTATTGTAAAATTTTTAATTAGGGGAATAATTTATAGTTACAATAATAATTCTTGATAAAATATGATCAGATATGATATGCAGAAAAATAAATTTTATAAACAAATAATATGGTCTATTGAACTTTTGTTTTGAGTAAAAAAATTTTGACGAGGATTCATAATTTCACGATGAATAGTGTTAAATTTAACATATTTAGGCCTACTATTATTTATATCTCCTAAACAAGTAATATTCAATTTATCATTAAAAATATCCATTATATTATTTTTTGAATTCATTGTTTTACTAAAATTATTGAAAATATTATTATTAGAGTTGTTATTGATTAAAATATCTTTTTTTTTGTTATCTTCTATATACATATCTTCAAGCAAATTATTTAATCTATTTTTTATATCAATATTATAATCTATTATTTTGTTTAACGTTTTATGTGCCTCTATTTTACTTCCTTCAACTGTCTTGCATAATGCAGTATCAACTAATAATTTATCTTCTGATGCTTTATTTTCAGATAAGTTAGGACTTTCTTCAATTTCTTTTTCAACTTTTATATTTTTCTTTTTTTCAAATTCTATACATGTAAAATTATTTAGAGAATTATCCAATTTTGTCATTTGTTTAGAATAAAAGGGAAGTTCTTTCTCCTCATGGAAATCAGTATTTTTATAATGTAATAATTCATTATCAATATTTTTAATTGATTCACTTAAACTTTTTATCTTTTCAATATTTTTATACATATCTTCTTTATTATTTTTAACATCTTTGCTCGATGATAAGTGATTTAACTTGTCAAATAAATCTTCTTGTAATTTTACTTTATTTAAGTTATCTGAAATGTCACTTTCAATGTAATTCTGTTTTTTGTTATTTACATCTTCATTAACAATGTCATCTTTATTTTTCTTTTTTAAGATTTGGTTATTTTTATCCTTTATATTATTATTATTAAAATAGGAAGCATTAGAAAGAGATGAAGAAGAAAATGTGTTATTTCTTATCTTACTATCTGAAAATGTTTCTTCATTTTTTTTAATTTTTATTGAACTAGAATTTGAAGAACTATCATCACAAGGACTATAATTTTTGTCTTTATCATATGAAATAATTAAATTTATACTCTTATTTAAGTTTATAAAAAAATTTTTAAAATATTTATCTTGTTCTTCAATCAATCTATTATATTCATTTTCTTTATCTTTCTATTAATAAAAAAAAAAAAAAAAAAAAGACAAAAATAAAAATAGTATAAATACATACACATATGTGTCACTTTTTTTTTTTTAATATAAAATTTGTTAATAAAAATTTATAGGAGCTAAAAAAACTTTGATGATATCACTTTTTCGTTATGACTTACTGTATAATTTGTTAGTATGCTTAATTGATTATTTAAATAATTTAACTTTTTTTCATACTTTTTTATATAACTTAATTTATTTTGATAGAATTGCTCATTATAATTTTTTGTTAATTTTTCTAAATTTTTAACTCTAACACTTAAAATATTTATTTTTTTTAAAGATTCTACATTTATAGAATGTAATCTTTTATTTTCATTATTTAAAAAGGTTACTAAATTTTTTAATTCTTCTATTGTTTCACAATCGTTTTCTTTCAATATATCCAAAATATATTTTTTTTCAATCTTTATTTGCCTATCATAAGCTTCCTTATTCTTTTTCATTTTTTTATCTTTTAAAATTTAATGAATTTCAAAGAATAATAAAAAAATTAATTTGCAAAAAAAAAAAAAAATAAAATATTAAAATAACATTATTATATATACATATATATGATAAATATACTCATAAGTATTTCAAAATGAGAATTTTCATCTCTTTTTATATATAAAAAACATAGTATATATTATATATGTTTTTTAATGCACTATTGAAATAAAATTTTAAACTTTAGTAAAAAAAAAAAAAAAAAAAAAAGACAGTTAATTTTGTAATAAATTTAAATTAAATATCCATAATTTTTTAGTTATAAATAAGAAATTAATTATATTTATTTAATTAATTAAGTTTATACTTTAATTATTTTATAAAAAATACATTTTCATACCTTATTTTTATACATTTATATGGATATTTATTAATGCATCATTATTTCTTATAGAAAAAAAAAAAAAAACTATTTTATTATTTTCTATCCATTCACATAATAAATGGCAACAAGAAAAAAAGAAAGATTACATAAAACAGGAAAGTCAAATAGAAAAAGTTATTTTAATCTATCTGACTACGAAAATTCTAATAATATTTTAAAAGTTTTTAACAATAGTAAGAATTCTAGTAATGATGATGTTTTGAATAATAATAAACTGAAATTCAATTTTGAAATTGATAAGACTTATAGTGATAAAAAGAATAACAAAAATATAAGTTTTCATAAAAATTTATATTCTGAAGTAAATAAAACTGATAAAGAAAAATTACAAAAATTCATCATTGAGAATCAAAAAAAAAATATAAAGCAGAATGATATAGAGTTAGTTGAACTTAATAAAAAAAAAGAAAATGATGAAAATTATCTTTATTCTAAAGGGGATCCTTGTAGATTTAAAAAAAATAAATGCAAAAAAAAAATAGATGTGATTAATTTAAATAATGAAAATAAAATAAAAGATAAAGTAAATAAAGAATATAATGTAAGTGAGCTATGGAATTATTTAAATTTTATTCACAATTCAGAAGATAGTAGATTAAGGTATAAAATAAGAGAAATAATTGAAGAAAAAAATAGAAGTGATATAGAAAAGAATATTAATAAAAAAGACGTATTTAATAATATGAATGGTAAAAATAAATTAATAAAAGAAGAAAATTTTGATTATGATGAATACAAAAATATTATTAAATATATATTACCAAGTATGGCTGATAGTAAAATCAAACATTCATGGGACGTTTTAAAAAGTAATTTAAAGAGTCAAAGCGAACAAATAAATTATAATGAGTTCTATAATTTCTTAAATGAAACAACAGGGAATAATGAAAGTAAATATGTAAATAAAATTGTATGTAGTAAATTAAAAAATAAAATATTAAAACATAATTTTGTCCCTTCTGATGTCCAACTAAAAACAATTAATTATGTTGATAATATTAGATCAAAAGCGTCAGAATTTTCTAGAGATTTCAAGGAATTGATAACAGAAAAGGAATTAGAAGGTTTATTTAAAGGTAAAGAAAAAATTAAAAAAACAGAATTAGAGAATCAAATTATGGATATTATTAGCAAAAAAACAAAAGATATATATTATAAAGAGATAGATACAAATTTTTCAAATAAAGAGGAACTGAAAGAATTAGAAAAGAAAATCTTTAAGAAAAAAGAGGGTTTAACAAATTTTAATATGAAAGCTTATATCTCTACTTTATTAACAAATAAAAATGATGAAGTATTAGTGAAACATTTCATAGAAAATTTGAGCATTGATTACGATTCATTAAATAATAAAAATAAAAATATAAAAGATGCTTATGATTTTTATTCAAGAAATATTCCTCCTACAGAAAATATTGAAGAATCTTACACTGAAGAAATGAATGAAGAGGAAATAAAAAGAGCCAAATTTTTAATTGAAGAAATAGACTATTCAGTTAGAAATAATTTCAAACCAAATTACGTCAGTGCAAACATTAATAAAAAAGATTCTGAAAAATCTTATTTATCCCTTTATGAAATTTTTAAGCATTTAGATATAGATAAAGATAGTTACATAACTAAAGATGATTTAAATAAATGTTTCAACAAATTGAAAATGAAAAATGTTAATAATAACGATGTAAATATACTTTTAAAATATATAGATACCCAAAGAAAAGGGTACATAAGCATTAATGACTTTTTAAGAAATTATCACATTGAAGAAAAATCAATGATAAATTGGATAAAAAATACGAACAAGCCTTATTTTGAATTTATTAAAAATTTAAAGGGAAAAAGTAGCCGTGCAAGATGTACTAGTGAAAGTGTTCTAAATAATAAGAATGCTTCTACTGCTAAAAAATATGAAGATATAATATATAATTATAACTTGGAATTAGATACATATTGTCCTTCATATGTTATAAGAGAAAGAATTCGTGATGATTTCATTGCTAAAAAAGAAGATTTTTTGAATAAACATTTAAATGCTACTAGATTTCACTTAACAGAATATAAAAATACAAATAATTTAATAGAGCCTATACAAAATTCAGATTTATATATGAATGATTCTTTAAGGTTTAAAACAACTTACAATTTAAATTACAATTAATGTGAAGACAGTTGTATTTAATTTGGTATATATATATATATTTATATATGAAGCATTTTACTAAAACATTAAAAATATATTATTTTTTAACTGTGTATTTGTTTTTTAGAGGTTCTATTATGAAATTCAGAATTGTATTAAAAAAATGAATATACTTAAAATTTTTTTTAGTATAAATTTCAAATTAGTAACTTTTGAATTATATAAAAATTATGAATTAAAAAGAAAAATGTTAAAAATTGATTATATAGTTGTTAAAATAAGTTTTTAATTTTTTTTTCTTATTTAATAGAGAGTTAATGAAAATAACACTTTTTTATGTTCCTTCATAGTCAAGATATTGCTAAAATTAATAAAGTAATATGTTTCTTCTTATAATAAATTATTAAAAGTAATATAATTTTTTTATGATTACTTATGAAAAAATTTAAAAAAAATTTTACATAGTGTTAAATTTATAAAATTCTAAATTATTATATATAAAATATAAATAACTGACTTTCTTCAATACTCTTTTTCTTTTAATTTTTACTATATTTTGGAAAATTAGAATTAAAATATCTTTTTGAACATTCATTAATGTTTTTTTTTTTTTTTTTAAATTAAAATTTAAAAGAATTTATTATTAAGTTTGAATATTAAATATAATTTAAATAATTTTTTTATTAATTATAGAAAGTATAGTAGCACAAAGGTTTTTATTATTAATTAATTAGGTAACGAATTAAAAATGTAAAAATAAAAATAAAATTAAAAAATATTACAGAAAAAATAATCCTCTAAAAAAAAAATAAAAAACCAAAAAAAGTAACAAAAAATAAATTAATAAAAAAAATTCAAAAAATTACTATCTAGAATGTCCAAAGATAAAAGAACTATATTGAATAATAAAAAAATTTTAATTAAAAATTTAAATAAAAAAAAATAAAATTTCTCATAAATTATATAATATGAAAAATAAATTAAAAATAATAAAAAAATTTATATTACAAAAAATTTCTATGTTTTAATTTTATTTAAAAAAATCATGGAACAATAATAGTCGGTGGGATATAAACAGCTCTTTTCGGAACGTAAGAAGATTCCACAGAAAAATGGTTGCATACATATTTATCTCTATCTACATATTCATATTCTTTTTTTTTTTCTGAATCATTTTTTTTCTTTTCTGTATTATCATCATCCTTATATGTATAATTGTTTAAATAGGAATTATCTGTAGTGTATGAAGGATAATAATAATAATAATAATAATAATTTGGGTAAAAATAGCTTTCTGGATATAAAGCATATTTTCTAGTAGAACTACAACATCCCTCTGTTTTTGAACTTAACAGATATTCCCCTGTCACAGCCAAAGGATAATAAAAAGGGCTACTAATTGTTTTTTTTGGCTCTATAAAAAAAAAAAAAAAAAAAAAGGATATTAACTTAAAGGAAATGAAACTTGAATACATATATTTAATTATTATTAAATACACACACTAAAAGTAAATGTATAATTAAAGAAAAAAACTTTAATTTATATATATTAAATCAATAATTTTTTTTTTTCTTTTTGATTTGGTAAATTAAATCAAAAAATTATTAGTTTCATGCCAAAATTTTATGCAAAAGATATATAGACAAAAATAAAAAAATATATAAGTATAAAAAAAAGTTAATCTCATGAAGTGTAATATTAAAAAGAAATTAAAATATAAAGAATCAAAATATTATATATGATTAATTACTCAGATAAACACAGTTGTAAGTGTTGTATATTATTGGCTCAACGGAATATGTTCTGTACATTTTGAATAATTTAATATATAAGAGATTAAAATTTTATAGAGATTTTTAAACTATTTTTTAATTTAATATATTTGTTTAAAATATTTACGTTAAAATTTAAAAAAAAAATTTTTAAAATTAATTTTAATTTTTTGGCTTATTTTTTTTTTTTTTTTTTTTTTTTTTTTTATTTTTATTTTTATAAAAGAACAACATTTCATAATTTATAATAATGGACTTCTTCAATTATAACATTTTATGCACACCCTTTTTTTTTTTAATATATATTTAAAAATAAGAGTAAGCCCTATAACTTAGCTACATATATTGACAATTTTATAATACACCATCAAAGAAAAAATGTTGCATTAATTTTTCTTATATTCTTATAGTTTGTTTTGAAATAATTTCAATGTATTTTTCTATTGCTTCATTAATATCTTTTTATTATATTATTTCTTTTATTTATTATTTTTTTTTTTTTTTTTTTCTTTTTTTGTATTTTTCATGCACAGTTAATTTCTTTCTTTATTTTTTTTCATTTTGGCTATCTTCAAGTGTTTACTTTTATTAATTAGCTTGCATGCAGGTTTTTAACAAAATACACAATTTTAATGCTTAATAAAAAAAAATTGTGTCAACTTTTTTATGTTTCTGTTAAAAGGATATATCAATTTTTTTTTTTTTTTTTTGGATTTCATTTATATTTAATTTTATCTTAAAATCTTATATAAAATGTCAGAAAATCTAAAATTAATAACATTTATGATTCTACATAATTATGCTAAACTGTTTTTAATATAAAATAAAGCAACAAAAAAAAAAAAGACTAAAGCGCTACATGTTTTCTAAAATATTTACTTATCTATTCAAAGTTTATTTTTATAGAAAAATAAATAAAAATTTTTGTTATTTTAAATTTTTTTTTTAGAAAAAAAAGTAATTAAAACAAAAACTATTTCTTAAAAAATAGATATATAAAATTTACCCATTTTTAAGATAGATTTGAAATTTTAGTAAAATTTAGAAAAAATAAAACACTATTTTTAAGACGTTTTGTGCAATAAATATTAATAGTATTATTACATGAGTTGACAAAATATTGAAGTACATTAAATAATATAATGTTTGATAAATGTTTCATTTTTACATAACTTTTTTTTTAAATTTTAAACAAATGTAGAAAAAAAAATAAAAAAAGAATATAGTAATGATAATTGTATTATATATTTAATAGCTTTAATAATAATTATAAAAATAATAATAATAATAAATATAATTAAAACAATAACACATATTTTGTTTTTATTATATAAAATAAATTAAAAAAAAAAAAAAAAAAAAAAAAAAAATATTAATTTGCGTATATGAGAATCATAATAAAAAATTTCATTTATATCTTTTACCTCAAATATTCTTAAAAAGACCTAATAATTTTATAATTATAGTTTTTATAGCTTTTTATAATTATATAGAAAACTCTATTCCTCTGATTCACAATGTATTACTTAAAGTAATTTTAAAATATAGAATTAATATTTTCTTTTTCTTTTTTTCTTTAAGATATTTAATTAAAATACTTATACTTTTAAAATATACATCTTTTTTTAGTATAAATATTGTTTTTAGTATAAAAATGAGAATAATAATAATGCTTCATTAAAAGAAATATATTCTTTTGCCTTTAATGTTTCTTACAAACACTAATAAGAAAAAATCATGAAAAATTTTATTTAAATATATTTAATATTTCACTAATTTAAAAAAAAAAATATTCTTTGCTCATTTCTATTGAATATAATGTTAATTGAAAATAAGATAAAAATAAAAAACCTTATCTATGAATGCAATGAGAAATTAAAATTATATATAAAAATAAAGCAAAATATTATGAAAAATGACATGCATAAAAGCACAGAAGAGTTAAAGGAATGTTATAATAAATGTGTAGAATCAAATTTAATTAAATTTAATGAAGTTAAATGTTTTGATGATGAATTTATTAGTGAAAAAAAATTAAATACAGACATAATTAATTGTCTTTTAGATAATTATTTGGAAAACAATAATAGGTGTGTTATATCTTTTAATAAATATGAAAATTTTAATACTATTAAAAATAACTTAGAAAATGAAGAAAAAAATGATTATATAAATTATATTTATCTGTATAATTTAATAGAACACTTTTTTGTTAAAATAAGTGTATTATCAGCTAAAAAAAACGAAAATAAAATATATACATTACGATTTGGTGCTTTCAATTTTTCCAATGTATATGATTTATTAGAAGAATACGATGACAATGAAGAATATAACCAAAAAAAAAGAAGTTACACTTTAAAATATGAGAAAGAAAAAAATTATTTCAATAACATCAATGTAGAACTAAAAAGTGAATTAAAAAATTTTAATGAAAAAACAAAAGCTATCGAATTTTCAGATCTAGAAAAATTGAAGGACATCCTAAATTTTGCAGAAAAAAAAAAGAAATCGTTAGAAAAAAAATTAAATATGAATGAACCGTTTTTTTACACATTAATAACAATAGATATCATTGAAATAAAAGAAAATAATCTAATGAAAATCCCAATAACTAATAATTGTAATAAATATATCTTAGATAAATATTATTTTCTTAACATTTCTTATACAAATTATGATGATGAAAAAGAAAGTGTTAACATAGAGGAATTAAGAAAATCATTTTATGAAATTATAAATTTAATTAAACACTATTTAAACAATAATTTAAAAATTGACATTTCTAATTTTAATCGCATATCAAAAATAGTCCATGAAATATGCTATGATATGGAGAAAATTTTTTTGAAGGTTGTTTTGTATTTCCCTTATAATTATGATAATAAATTTGATGAATATATTTTGAATTTTCTTTATACAATTGATATTAAACTAAAGGATTATTTAAATTTATTCAATAATAATTTAACCAAAGTAGTAAATGATAATTATAATATGAGAGATCATAAAGATGTTATTATATCAGATAATGAAAAATATCATAAATTAGATAAAATTTTATTCAATAATATTGATTTAGATGAAAATTTGAAATATAATGTATTGATAGAAGCTTTGAATTTACCTGAAGAATCTTTTAACTGTTTAACATTGTTAAATAAAACATTTCAACATAATTATGATTTATATAAAGAGAAAGAAAAAGAATTCTATAGAAATATTTTAAATTTAGTTGAAAAGCAAAATGAAATTATTAAAAGTTATGAAGAGAAAGAAAATAAGAAGAAAGACGAAATAAATAGTATACTTAAAGAAATATATTACATTAATGAAAAAAATTTAGAAATAGAAAATGAAATACAAAGACATCAAAATTTAAATATGGAATATTTGCAAAAAGAAGAGAATAAAGATGTGCAAAATTTGAAAAGGATCCACACTATTGATAACATATTAAATAAAGAATATGAATATTTTTTAAAATTTCGCAATGAATCAATAAACAACCAAGAAAAACCTATAAAAAAGGAAAAAAACTTTCAAAGTATCCAAGATAATAATATTTCAAATAATATACTAAATATCCAGGAAAAACAAGAAGAAGAATATTTAAAAAATTTAAATGAAGCAATGAAGTACGCAGAACAAAATTTTCAACAAACTCATAATTTAAAGTAATAAATAAATTTATTAATAGTTTAAGTGAATTTAATATCATAATATTTTTAAGTTAATTTAATTAATGTATAAAATAAAACATAACAAAATAAGATAAAATAATAAAAAAAGGAAACATAAAAAATAGAATATTTCAACAATTTAACTAAATATTATATATTTAGTTTTTTATTTTTTTAATTTTTTATTTCAGAAAAAAATATGATGATATTATATGTAAAAAAATGGAACTTTTCAAAATTTTAAAAAGCACAGTAATAAAGTTAAATGAAAAGACAAATTCATTAAAGAACAATTTTAAAAGTACAAAAGGACTGAAATTTGTTTATCCTATAGATGATAATTATATAAGTTTTAAAGAAAAATATAAAAATCATCTAACATGTAATAACTTAAAAGAATATAATGAATTATTAGAAGAATTAAAGAAAAATGATTTCAATGAAAAACAAGTTGAGTGGATACTAAAGATGAACTCTATATCGAAAAAATTTTAATAAAAAAAAAAATAAATAAATCTTAACATTATTTTTTTTATTTAATAAAAAATGAAATAATTTATTAATACTTTAGAAATATCATAAAATATATAGATTATTTTTTAATAAGTAACATTTTAAAGATAAACGAAAAAAAAAAAAAAAAAGTAACAAAATTTAGAAAAGTATTTATTTTTAAATATTATTTGAATTATCTTAGAATATGTAAATAAGATATGTACATTTTTAAGAAAATAGTATTTTAATAAGAAACAATGTAAAATTAAAAGAATAAGTAGAAATAAAATCCATCATAATTTTATAATTAAGAAAAAATCGAATATGCTAAATATTTTTTTTATTTTTATACAATTTTTTAGTGCATTTTTTTTTTTTTTTTTTTAAAGCACAAAGTGCATTTCAATATTTCAAAAATTACATTTGAAATAAATTTTTAAAATATAAAAATTTTATGAAAAAGAACTTTATTTTAATAATTTATATTATAAAAATTACAATGCAAGATAAATATGTTAAAAATGAAAAAGTCTTTATATTTTAAAATTATTTTTTCGTGTATACAAAAAAAAATCTATTAATTTTGAATTATTCAGAAATATGTTTGTTGTACTTTTTGCAATGCATGTGTATTTTTTATTTTTACCATTTAAAAAAAAAATATATATTTTTTTTTTTTTCTTTGTATTTCATTTTACTTGATAGGTGTGTGTGATTAATAAAGCTATTTTTCTATTTTTCATTTATTTATTTTTTTTTTTTTTTTGTGTATTTTCTTATATGTACAATAGAAATATGGAAATAATAAAAAAATATTAGATTAATTCATGAAAATTTTTAAATAGTAATCTAAATAATGTTTTAAATTTTTATATATTATAAAAATAAATATTAAAAATGAAAATTATAAAATTTACAAAGAATAAATATGCTTAACTTAAATAAAGCATTCATATTTTTATTTTCTTTACTATTTTATTTTTTTTTTTTGTTTTAATTTTTCGAAATACAAAACTTTTTTAAGATTATGTAATAAACATAAATAATTTTTAGTGTTTTATATTTTTTTGTATCAATTTTCTTTTTATATATATACTAAAATTATATATGTAATTTTTTTTTTAAATTTTGAATTATAAATATATATGAAAATAATATATATAAGACATAGAGTACTTTTACTTACTTTTTTTTTTTTTTTTTTTTGTATTTAAATGTTTTAATAATTATATAAAATATTTCTTTATGTGGAATATTTTATTTAATTTTTTTTAAATATTAATATCTATTTGTTAAGAAGAAAAAATTTGATAAAAAAAAAAAATGAACAAAAATCATGAATTTGATTTTTATCAAAAATTAATGAAAAAGAGATTAAATGATTACGAAACACATTCAGATGTGTCATGTAAAATTGGATATAGTGACTCTGAATCTGAAGGAGTAGCTTCAATAAAAGAAGCACCATATTATTCTTATAATCATAATTTAAAAAATTATAAAAAGGAAAAATTGGAAAAACCAATATGGAAAAGTTTTCATGATATTGAAGAAACTGCAAAAAGTTCCTATTCAGATGATGAACATATAAAGAATGACAAATCAGAAAACGAAATTGAATCTCCTAGATTTGGTAATTCATCCGAAGATGAGAAAGAAAAAGAAGAGGAAATAGAAGAAAATGAATATAAACGTATACATAAGAATACTGAGAATTTATATATATTTGACGATGTAAATGAAGATGTAAAAACTTTAGAAGAAAATGAATCATTAGATAATTATACACAACATAACATTTCTAGTAATATTAATTACAACTTTCGAGAAGAATTAAAAAATAATATGTATAATAATTTAAGTATGTTTAGAAGCATAAAAGATAATTATGATGATGCTACTAAACATTTTCTTAAACCAAAAACTTTTAAAGATGTGAATGGTTTGTATAATGATATTAACGATGAAAGAGTTGATATTGATATATTAAAAAAAGAACATGAAAGATTAAAAAAAGTAAATAAATTAGGAAATATTGAACAAGCTTATTTTCCAGTTACTTCTTTATATAATGATGAAGATATGGAAAAAATAAATAAACAAAATATCAGTAAATTTAAAAATATAAAAAATAAAAAATTAGAGGAAAAAGAATTTAAAAATTCAATTTCAATTTTTAATAAAATATATAATAAATATGATGAAATTAATATGAATAAAAAACATTTTAAAAATAATAACGTATGTGAACAAAAAATGATGGATAATAAGCAAGGTAAAGCAAAGAAAAAGACTATATTAAAAAAAATTAAAAATAATGCAGACGAAAAATACTATGAGGTGAAAGAAACAAAGTTAATTAATAATGAATTATATACGGATGAAGAAAAATATGAAAGAAAAAACGAAGGTGAAAATAAATGCAATATGATCAATGGCAAAAATAAAGAAATGCATAATGAAAAACAACAAACAAGTGAAGAAGAAGATATAGAAGAGAAAAGAGAAGATGTAGAAGAGGAAGAAGTAGAAGTAGAAGAGGATATGGAAGAGGAAGAAGAAGAGGAAGAAGAGGAAGAGGAAGAAGAGGAAGAAGAGGAAGAGGAAGAGGAAGAGGTAGAAGAGGAAGAAGAAGAAGAAGAGGAAGAGGAAGAAGAAGAAGAAGAAGAAGATATGGAAGATGAAGAAGGAAAAGATTATATAGATGAAGAAAAGGAAGCAGAAAATCAGAAAGAGAATAACGATGATAAGGAAATAAATGAGGATGGATGTAAATATGAAGAAAATAAAATTAATAACAAAAATGATAATATTGATGAAGAAACTGATTATATGTATAATGAAGGTTATGACAAAGAAAATGACGAAAAAGAAACAGGACTTTCAGGAAAATTGAAAAATAAATTTAGTAAAAAACAAAAATTTTTAGAAAATAATAATAGTGAAAACATTATAAACAACTTTTATAATAAAAAAAAAAATTCAAATATAAAAAAAAAAAAAAAATATAAAAAACAAATTCCTTTACAAAAAGGAAACACTAGTGATAATAATAGAAAAGTGGAAGTTGTGACATATAAAAAGAAATATTCTAAAATTAATGAAAATTTTATCAGGGATCCTAACATTAACAATAAAACAGAAGATGAAAATTATAAAATTAATGATAACATAAATAATAATAAAAAAAAAATATATGATAATTTTGAAAAAGATGATGACTTAATGAATGAGCATATTGCAAAAGAAATCAATTTTGAGTGGTGGAAAAGTAATGAAAATATTAATGATTTGCAAAATAAAAATAATGATATAGATGAAAAAATAAATAATGAATGTAACTTAATAAATTCTGAAAGTAAAACTTTAAAAAGAGAAAAAATATTAAATCGTTATGAAATACCAAAGGACATTTCTTATTACGCAGAAAAATATCAAAATAATAAAAATAAAAAAGAAAAATCAAATGAAATTATGCACAATGCAATTCATGAAGAAATAAATATGAACAGTACAGCTACTGAATGTAAAAACATCAACGAAAATGTAGTTTTACCTAATGACACTAGTGGAGATATTCATTTTTATAAAAATAATGATCTCATTAACAGTAAAAATGATTTTAATAATAGATATTTAAATAATAATATTTTATTAAATAGTAAAAAGGATTTATATAATAAAGATATGAATAATAATAATGATTCGGAATTTAATAAAATAATTGAAAATATGAATATAGATAGCTTTAATAATAAAAATAGAACTAAATTTTCATCGAACATACAAAGTGAAATGTTAAAGGATAGTTGCAGTGTAGAAATGATTCAAAGCTATCCATATAATTATTTAGGTTCATTAAATAATTATAATTTAGTTAATGAATTTTATTCACCTAATATTAGAACAGATAAGTGTGAGAAACATGATAACAATACAGAATTAAATGATTCACACGTTTTAAAAAGTATAAATATACCATTTAATGAGAAAATGAAAAATAATGATATAAATCATTCAAATAATAAAAATATAATATTTAACTCTTTTATGAATAATGATAATATAAATAAAGGAAATGAGTTAATTCTCACCCATAATAACTGTATAGAGAAAAAAATGTATATAGATGAGAATGGTAATCTATCTAATTTTTATGATAAAATAAACCTTTATAATGAAAAAGTTAATGAAAAGGGTTTAAATAATAAAAAAGAAGATTATATTAAGAATAATGTTAATGAAAATAATAGTAGAGGAAACGTTAATGAAAATATTGATATGGTTGAAAAAATAGAAGAAGAAAAAAATAAAAAAATTAATTTTTTTTTAAATTATTTAAAAAGTATTAGTTTGGATTCAGTAAATAATATTTTTGAATATTTTGTTGAGAATGAGAAAAACAGTACCGTAAAAGAAATAATGGAAAAAACTTTATTAAAAAAAGATAATCAAAATAAAAAAATAAAATTAGAAGAATATGTAAATGATCTTTCTAAAAGCGATCAAAATACTCAGACAGTGGATAAAAATTTAAAAAATGAAGAAATACAAACGAATAACACAAGAAAGGTAGAAAATTTTATGCAAACAAATATAAAAGATATCAATAATGAGTTATATATTAAAAAGGATGTGTTAAGCAAAAAAACAAGTATAGATTCTGTTTTTTTTAAAAATTTAAGTAAAGATTTGAATTCTTTTAATAATGAAAGTAAAGAAAAAAAGAATGATAATTCTAAAAATAATTTAAATCTTGAATCAAAAAATGATTCATATGTTGATACAAAAAATAATTTAAGTGTAGATGAGTATAATGAGGTAAAAAAAATACATGATTTAAAAGAAAAAATTTTAGAAAAAATTAAATCTTGCTATGATAATTTTAGTGAGAACAATGATGAAACAGCTATATTAATGTTAAAAGATAAATATGAATGTACAAATAATAATAATTACTATTCCAATAAAGTAAAAGATAATACAAATTATAATGCAAATTCCAAAAGAAAAAACAAAAGAAATATGAGCGTAATAACTGTAGAAACTACTGAATCATTGAAATCATTTGAAAAGGAAATGAGTTTATTAAAATCACATAATGAAAGATTAAAAAGAAGAATTGAAAAGTTGTATGATGAAAAAGAAAAAATAAAAAATGATTACATAAAGATTGAAAAATTGAAAGAAAGTCAAGATAATTTATTTTTAGCTACAGAAAAGCATATTGAAAAATTACACGAGGAATTAAATAATTTATCAAAGGAAAATGAAGACATGAAAAATGATTTAAAAAAAAAAAATATAAAAATAATAGCTCTAGAGTCCCAAATAGATAATAACGAATTTTCCATATCAAGTCGTAGTACTCATAAAAAAGATGAACTCACTTATATAGATTTAAATAATAAATTAGAAGAGTTTAAGTGTCAAATAACAGATAAAAAAAAAGTAAAAGAGCAAATAAATTTGTTGCACACACAATTGCACATTTTAAAAGACGAAATTAAAAAAGCAGAATCATTAAAATTAGAAAATGAAGAGCTAAGAAAATTATTAAATAAAAAAAGCTCTACTATTAATGAACATGAAAACAGTATAATGAAACTAGAAAAAAGTGTTGACAATTTAAATAAACAGAATATTCATTTGAGTAAAGAAAATGTTGATTTAAACAAAAAGAGTTTGGAGTTCAAAAAAGGAAATATTATATTATCAAGTTATGATGAAAATATAGATACAAATAAAATGAATGAAATGCTATCAATTCGAAATAAAACGATGGATTTATATTCAGATAAAATAAATCTTCTAAAAAGTAATATTGAAGAAAAAGAAAATCAAATAAGAGACTTAGAAAGAAATGTAAATATATTAAAAGAACAAAATTTTCAATTAAATGAAGAAATTTTAGACTTAAAAGAAAATAATATTAAATTAAAAAAGATAAGTTTATCACCAAATAACGAAAATGATTTATATAATAATAATGAAAATATAGAAATAATGCAAAGGGAAATTGAAAAAGTATATTTAGACAAAATAAATATATTAAAAAGTAATTTAGAGGAAAAAAAAAAAAAAATTGATCTACTAAATGCTTTATTAGAAACATCAAATAATCAAACAAGTCAACTAAATGATAAAGTTAAAAATATATTAAAGGAAAACAAAAAATTACAAAAAAAATATGAAAAATGTCTTAATTATCTGGAAAAACTAAAAATAAAATATGATGAACATATTTTAAAGAAAAATGAAAAATCAGTCATTTCATTTGATGAATTGAACAATTGTAACCATAATAAGGCAGATTACCAATCAACTAAATCAAATGATCAAATGTCTGAAAATTTATGTTTGAAAAACAACAAAGAAAAAATAATTTTGTCAAATAATAGTGAAGAAAACGAAATGAAAAATTTAAATAATATGTATCATAGTGATGATGAAGATATTAGAGAACATAATAAAGGAGAATATGAGGAAGAATATGAGGAAGAATATGAGGAAGAAACAAATGAAGATAGTGAATGTATTATAAAGTATGGAAATGAAGAAACTTCTGAGAAAGAAGAAAATAGTATTGATTTTAAAGAAAAAATTAGTAATGATATTTTAACAAAAGAAGTGAAAATGAATACTTTAAAAAAACATACAAACAATGTAAATAGTAATGAAGAAGATGCATATAATGTAAGTTATGTAGATAGAAATAATATGGAGAAAAATGTTAATAAAAAAAATAAAAATGTATGCAAAGTATTAAAATATAATGATTTAGAACATGAAAAGAGCAAATTGTTAGATAAAAAAGGTAAAAATCTTTATAAAAATTTACTGGATAATGAAAACAAATATGTTAATATAAATAATATTTTTGAAATTGAGAATATAACACAAGATTTACAAAATATGTTTTATAAAAAGCAATATTCTAATGAGAAATTAGATAATACTATCATAAATAATAATTTAAATAATAAAATTTTAAAAAGTTTTAATAACAATTTATCAAACGAAAACCACAATGCATTATATGAAAATGGATTTCATAGAAATAGAGAACAATTTTATCAAAAAAGAAATGAAAATTTTATACACAACGATTCTAACGATATAAATTATAATAATGAAAATAATTTTAATAATAATATTATGAGTGAAAATATGTCAAACTTAGAATTTATAAATTATACCTTAAATGAAATGAATTTAAAGAATATGGAAAAATCATATGTAACAAATAAAATAAAAACATTCAATGATAATGTAAGTAATTATATAGAAAAAAAAAAAAAAATAGATGAAATGTGTAACAGGAATAATTTGCTTTATAATAATACCAATCAAAAGTGTAACAATTCTTCTTATTCAAATTTTGATACAAATAATATAAAGATAGGAGAAACTGAAAATGATATATATAAAGAATTATATAATAAGAATATCATGGATAATATAAATAACATAAATAAAATGAATATTACGAGTAATATGAATAATAATGGAAATATTAATAATATGAATAATATGAGCAGTAGGATTAATATTAATGATATTGACAACACTAATAAAATGAATAATATTAATGATATGAATAATTTGAATAATATTAATGATATGAATAATTTGAATAATATTAATGATATGAATAATATGAATAATATTAATGATATGAATAATTTGAATAATATTAATAATATGAATAATATGAGTAATATTAATAATATGAATAATATGAGTAATATTAATAATATGAATAATTTGAATAATATTAATGATATGAATAATATGAGTAATATTAATAATATGAATAATATGAGTAATATTAATAATATGAATGTGAATAACATTAATGGTATGAATTATATGAATAATGTGAATAGAATTAACAACGCTAATAACATGAATAATATGAGTAATAAGAATACTTCGAATAGTGTAGATAATATAATTAGGAATAATTCAAACAATTTAAGAAATTTATATATAAATAATTTAGATAATCAAAAAGTAAGAGAACAAATAGAAAACAATAATGTAAATAGGTTTTCATTAAATACTAATGAAACGAATTTAAAAAATATTAATTCAAATAATTTAAAGAGTAACGAATGCATGTCTAATATTAAAAAAATAGAAAATGAAGATTCAGATAGAACTAACAAATTAAGTAATGAAAATAATATATATAATTTTAACAATGAATTAAAAAATAATATTGTAAATTTGAACACTAGTTCAAATGTAAATAATAACGAAATATATTGTGACAGAAAAGAGATAAAAAATGTTAATACTCCAGAAAATAATAATATAATTAATAATAACTCCAATAATATATATGAGATTGAAACAAAGGAAAATTTAAATAAAGAGGGAAATAAAAAGGGAGAAGCATGGATAATTGATTTAAAAAATAATGAAGTATTTCCTTATATTAAATTGAAAAATACACTGTTAGAAGAAGAGAAACAAAGAAAAAATAGTAGAAAAAAAGACATTTATGATAAAAATAGTAGAAAAAAAGATATCTATGATAAAAATAATAAAAAAAATAGCATATTTGATAAAAAGAATTTCTATAAAAAGGATAAAAACTATAAATCAATTTTACAAAAAAAATATACTAACAGAATCTTAGATATGAGAAATAAAGATAAATTAAATTTATTAGTAAGTAATATTTCCAAATTAGTTAAAAGTAAAATAGCAGAAGAAATGCATAAGAAAAAATTACCTAAAGATATATTAAATTTTGAAATTACTAAAATAAAAAAAGGAAATAGTTCTAAAAAAAATACATATAAATGTTATGATAATAAAAGACAAGAAACCAAAATGATTTTAAGTGATTCAATATCTATATCTTCTGGAACTTTTAATAATACACTTGAAACCATAGAAGATGATAATAGTGATATAAATTCCCAAAACCTTTTAAAAAATATAAATGAAAATATATTCAGATATAATATTGCTAATAGTAATGTAAGTAAAAATGAAATAAAAAGTGCAAATAGAAAAAATGTATATCATCCTAATGTTGATAATAGTAGTTTAAATAACTTCATTCCTAAAGAAAAAAGCAAATCTGTTCTAAATGATGGAAATCTTTTAAATAATGACATATTGTTAAATAATTTTCTATTAAATCAAAATTACGTTAATGATATTAGAGATATTAATGAAAAAATTATGAATAATAATCTATTTTCTTCTAAAAATTCTCTAAAAAATTTAGGAGATACACATTTTTATCAAAATTTAAATAATAATGGTTTAGGAAATGTCCCATTAACCGGTAACATGAATTACTGTAATTTGGTTGATTCTAACTGCAATTATAACAAATTAAATTTTTTAAATAAAAATATAAATCGTAACAATAATAATATAGGAAATGATTTAGAAATTAATATAAGTAAAAATTTAAATAATAATAATATAAGTAATATATTAAATAGTGATTTAAAGGTTGACATAGAGAATAATAAAGATAAAAATATAACTAATAACAAAAATATTGATATAATGAATAAGAGTAATCAAAATATATGCAATAATTTTAATAATGATATGAAGAATAATAATCAAAACGTATATAATAATGTGAATATTGATATGTTGAATAATAATGAAAATATATGTAATAATTTGAATATTGATATGATAAATAATAATGAAAATATATGTAATAATTTGAATAATGATATCGAAAACAGTATTCGTGTTGTTAACCCATTTGTGTTTTCCAATGACATTTTAAATAATAATAATATTAGTAATACTATTTTTGAAGTTAATAAATTAAATAATTCATACTTGTTTGATATTAATGCTTTAGAACCGAAAGAAAATTCTATAAGTCATAATAATACAGTTTTAAATTATAATGTGTTGGATAGAAAGGATATAAATATACCAAATAATGAAATTATTTTGAATGATGATTTAAATAAGAATAATATTAATAATAAAAATATATTTAATGAAATACAACGAGACAATAAAGTGTATGAAGAAAGTAATATAAATGAAAAAACAAGTAATCATATTTACAAAGAAAATAAAATAGAAAATAAAAATAATATATTCAAAAATAGTGTAAAGAGGTCTATATCAGTAGATATTAAAAAAAATGAAACAAAAAAAAATTCAGCTAACGAATGTACAGAGTTAAAACCAAAAATGAATACGCAAATATTTAATTATTCTGAAAATAAAAAGAATGGCTTAAGAGATATGTCAGCTTATGCAGATAAAGTTTTAGAAGATATGAAATCTCTGATACCATTCAAAGTCAATAGTGTGATTAATAAAATAAATAAAGGTGATAAAAAAGAGTGTGAAGTAAAGAAAACATTAAATATTAAAAAAAATAATTCAAAGTCTTACAACGAAGTTATATTAAATAAATTAAACAATAATATTAACAAATCAGATTATTGTAATAAAGGAACTATTTTAAAAAATAATTACACCAATAATTCTGTTACAAATTATAAATATAAGAGAATCAATGAAAAATCTGAAAAAATGATGGAGGCTTTAAAGAATAAGGAAAATAAAAAAATTGATTATGCAAAAGAAAACTCCCATTCTAATTCAATTAACTCAAAAAAGATAGATAATTCAAATTATAATAAAAAAAAGAAATACAAAGTAATTGCACCAAATACCACTAATAAAAATAAAAAATATGCATTAAATGAACATACTTCGGATGATATATGTATTAATAATGAATTTGGATTTTTAAATGAAAACAAAAGTAATAAGTTAAGTCTAGGTTTAAATGAAAACAGGGATATTAATTTTAATGAAGTAAGCAACCTTCACTATAATTCATTTAAATATGAAGATTATATAAAAGAAGCCCAATTAAATAACTGTGTAAGTGATGGAAATAATATATTTAATAACTCAAATAGAAATAAGAATATCATACAAGATCCTTTAATTTTCAATAGAAGAGAAGAAAGCAATTTGTTTCAATCACAAGCACGTAAGTCTTTGACAAGCTTTAGAGAATCCTTAAAAAAACAAGGAATTTTAGGATAAAAATTTAGATATGATTATTATTTAAAATATATTTTAATTTTCAATTTTTGTATATCATTTTGCATTATAAATTTTGATTATTTTGTTTTTGTATTTTATATTATCCCCATCAAATAATTTTGTTAAAATGGTTATTTATAAATATATTCCTTTTTACGTCTTTTTTATGAAAAATTAAAATTTTTTTTTTTAAAAATTAGACTTATTTTTTAAATATAAACTTAATTTTCTTTATTCTTTTTTTTTCCGTTTTGCACATTTTTTTTAGTTAAATACTTTTTTTGTGAATTTTTTACAATATATATATATATATATATGTAATAGTTTATTCAATTTAAATAAATTTATGTTTATATGTAGAAATTAATATTTATTAATATGATTTTTTTTTTTTTTTTTTTTTTTTGTAAATAAATTCAAATAAGATAGAAAAAAAAATTTAATAACAGTGATAAGAATAAAACTGTAAATAGTTACGTTGATACAATTCAAAATAATTATTTTTTATTTTATTTTATTTTTATTTTTTTTTTTTTTGTAAAGATTAAATCATATAAAATATTTAATCCAAAAATAATATAAAACAAAAATTATAACATATTACCTAAAAATTAAAAAACAATCAAAAAATTTTGATAATTCATAAAAATATAACAAAAAGTAAAAGGGAATAAATATATTTTTTTTTTTTTTTAATAAATGAAAAATTAAATTCTTATGAGCACTAATTTTATTATTACTGAAAAAATATTTATATATTCTATTAGAATAAATGTTTTTGTTTTAAATATATATATATTTTTTTTTTTATTTCGTTCTTAATTATTTTAATTTTTTTTTAGATATAAAAAATCAAGAATGAAAACTAAAATAGAATTAAAATTTTTGGGTGGTTTAGAAAGTTATTTAGAAAACAAATCAAAAAATCATGTAACATTTGAAATAGAATCTGAAGAATTAAATTTTGAAAATTTAATAGCTTATGTAAGGAATTATATAATAGTTGAAAGAAAAGATGTTTTTTCTGATTATGTGGTAAGAAGTGATAGTTCAAAAATGTGTAAAGTGTTAGTTGACGATATTGAATATTCTAATTATAATTTAAATGATAAAGCAAAAATAAAACCAGGAATTATCGTTTTAGTTAATGAATATGATTGGGAGATTTTAGATACATACTCTTATAAAATTCAAAATAATGATAAGATATGCTTTTTGTCAACATTACATGGCGGCTAAAAAAGCAAAATTTAATAATATTTAAAAAGAATTTCATATATGTTTAAATCCTCATAGTGCTTATAAATTTATTCTAATTTTTACAAAGTTAATACATTATTCTAAAGGAAATTTTTTATATGTAAAATCATTTTTTAAAAGGATTATACTATTTTTATTATTATAAATATTTTTAAAGATATTTAGAATTTTTTATATTATATATAAAAGGTTATAGACATAATTGATGTATATATATTTTTTTTTTAAATAAATACTTGTAAATTTAATATCCTATGTAAGAAATGGAACAATATAAAAATAAATGATAAATGACAAAATATATGTATAATTAATTAAGAAAAAAAGAGAAAAACAAATTAAAATAAACTTTCTTTTATTACATAAAATAAAAATATATATGCTTGCTTAGAATTTTACTTAAATATTTGTGTATGTTTTGTATATTTATTTATTTTTTTTTTTTAAATATCCTATAATGGATTATAGAAAATTTGTAAACGTTTTTTTAAAAAGCATAATGTTAAAATATTAATTTGCATGCAATAATAATTTACAAGTTCCTTTTTTTTAGGCTTTTTTTTTATTTTATTTTTTTTATTTTTTAAATATCTCTATTGATTTCTAAAATATATATAAAAATGATTTAATATAAGAACTATAAAAGTTTCTTGCCTCATAAAAAAATGTGTATATTTTTTTTAAATAGTTTAATATAAATTCCCAATTTTCCAAATTTTTTTAAAAAGGTAAAATATATAAAACATTACTAGACTGAATAAGAAATCAAAAAATGGATATAAAAATAATTTCTTCTTTTTTTTTTTTAATAAGTTTTTAATATTTATTATTATAAATGAAAATTTTTAACTATATATGTGGGCGCCCCTTAAGTGGTGGAGCTGCTCCTCTAATTTATAACCCAGTTCGTAAATGGTTAATTATTTTAATGATGTTATATATTTGCTTATCAATTTTATCTTATGGAATATTTTTATTTCCAAAAGCATCCGATTTACAATGTTCTGCTTTAATTAATTCATTATTTAATTTTTCTTTATCAATAGGTGAAAAAAATGTGATATTACTTTTTTTTTTTTTTTTTTGTATAAACTTTCATATATATATATATATATGTAAATGTTCTATTTAATTTATAAATTACTAATAAATCTTTTGTTTTTTTTTCAAGGTGTATCAAACATTATGGCTCCTTATTTTTCTATAATAAGCTGCAGAGAATGGGGGACAGAACACGAATGGGCATTAGTAGCATTAGTTTCAGCTGTTATGGCAATTATAGATGTTAGTTCTAGTTGTTATGGTATTTATGTTCTATATACTATTATTGATGTTATATTTGTTAACATTTCAGGTATACATGGTGACTGTAATTCTTATAAAGCTGTACTTTTTTTTTCTGCAAATTCCTTTTTAGTAGTTCTTCATCTAATTGTTGCCATAGTTTGCACTGTTGTTTTTTTTTTATTGATGGCAGGAATTGATAAACAGTTGCATGATATTAGAAATACAGTTTAAAAATATTTCTTTTTTTTTTTTTTTTTTTTTTTTTTTAACATTTTGTACTTTATGCCTTATATCAACTTGTTATAAATATTTTTATTTTTTCTATTTTACATATTTCTTTTAGACTTTAGCAATTTTATTAGGAAAAATCTTATATGTTCCTATTTTCTATATATTTAGAACTTTCCTTGTAATACATTTATTATTAAAATAATATAACTGTACAACTATTATTTTTAAATTAAATATTATTTTGTATATTATCTAAAGAAATATTCAAAAATATTTATTATTTCATACCTTCAACATAAATTTTTTTTTATTTTTATAATTTCTTATAAAATTGTTATGTTTATTTTTTTTTTTACTACTTATATTTTACATAAAAAAATAATAAAATTTCATTTCCTTAATTCATCTAAATACATGAAATTAAAAAGTATAATGGTAGAAATTCATTTCTTTTTTTTTTCTTCATATTCTGTATCTTTCAATATTAGTATTAAACCAGACATTATAAGTATTGAACCTATTAACCAAAAAAAATTCCTTTTCTCGTTAAAGAATATTATACCAAATAAGGCACTTAAAAAAAAATTAAAAGAAAAATTTAATACAGTTGAGAAAAAAGCAGAATATTGCTTCATTAATAAGAGGTAGTATTTAATCATTAAAATATTAAAAAATAAAAAAAATAAAAAATATATTATTCTTAATAAAATTTGAAGAATTAAATCCTTATTAATTACACCAAAACTACTTTTCAAAAGTGATATATCAAATGCCTTCTTAAAAAACACTGATCCTAATGTTCCACATATGCTACTAATAAACGAATTAATAATGTTGGAATTATAAATCATATAAATATATTTCTTATCTTTCATTTTTTTTTGGTGTTTAACTAAAAAAAAGAAAAAAAAAGAAAAAAGGGAAATATACGTTAAGAAAAATTAAAAAAAATGGATATAAATTTTGCAAAAATGAAAATAAGAATGTTTTGTATATTATTTACAAAAAATAAAGTTGTCCTTAGTGTTTCAAATAAATTAAAATAAAAACTAAAAATTATGTCTTTTTTAAGATAGTATATGTTTAATGGGCTTGGAAATCGTTTAGTATGAGCTCGTACTTCATTAATCTCTTCATACGACTTTTTTGAGAATTTGGGTTTTGCTGTTATTCTATCTTTAAATAAATGTACAAATTCATCTAATTATATTAAAAGAAAAACAATAAATTTTTCATATAAAAGTGTTTTCATATCATTTTGTATATATAAGTATATATATTACTTAATTTTATTTTTAAGGTAATAAAAATAAAAAATATGTGTTACAATAAATTCATGTATATATAAATTTTTAAATAATCATAATAAAAAAAAATATTATACTAAAATAATTTTTAAAAAAAAAACATTTAAAATTCATATATAATAAAACGAAAGATAAAATTGTTCTTATAAATAGTTTTATTTTATTAATGTCTTATGATTTTATTTTAAATGTAATAATATTATTTAAAATTAATTTTTCATAATATTATATTATCTTTTAAAATTTTTAATTTTGCACCAATTTCTTCTTGTTTTAATGAAACAAGCATTTCAGCCATTTTTTGAACTTTTTTACTTTGGATTTTTTTATTCATTTCATTAAAAATGCTCTATTTTTTTTAAAGAAATTAATATTATTAAAAAAAAAATTTAAAAGAGAATAAAAAAAAAAAAAAATATATATATATATTCAAGGAAATTTAATCAAATTACTAAATGCATAAATTTAATAAATTTTTAAACAAAATACTAGGTATATATATTCAATAAAAATTTAAACAAAATTCTAAAAAAGGAAAATATGGTGACATAATAATTTAAAAAAAAAGGAAATTAAAAAAATTAAGAAAAATAAAAATAATTTAAAAAAGGAATAGAAAAATTAAATAAGAAATAACGGATATATATAATATTAAGATGCCAAAGAAAAAAAAAAAAAAAAAAAAAAAAAAAAAATACAAAAAAAAAATATGTGCACAAGAAAAAAAAGATGCATTCAAAAGTCAAATATATATATATATATATATATATATATATATATATCACATCATAAAAATTATGTATTGGCTGTATTATTTTAAAATATATAAAATGATATTAGGATGTAAGTTAATTTTATGAATTATTCATAAAATACTAAAATGTGCATACAAAATATATGCAGAAGGTAGAAACCATATATTTTTAAAACACACAAAAAATTCCTATTATTAAATGAAAAATATCCTTAAATTTTATAAAACATAAAAAAATATATATATAATTTATATAAATATTTACACAGGAAGCCAATATTTTTTTTTTTTTTGTTTTCTGAAAAAACTATAAATCAGATTCCATATCATCAACGTTTATATAATATAAATCTCTGTTAGATGATTTTTTATTATCTAAAGCATTTATATTGTGAGCTCTGGTAAAAGCACCAAGTTTTTTATTTTCATAATTGTGAGCCCCTAAAAAGTTATGCCTTTTAAACTTTTTATTAAGTAAATAATTTCTATTATGTGAAATTTTTGAATTATTAGATGAATCAACTTCTTTTTTATCACTAATAATAAAGCAATTAACATCTTTGTAGATAACTCTAATTGTGGTATGTGGTTTAAATGTAAATCTATTTTTAAATTGTTGTATCAGAAAATTTTTAAGTGTCTCCGAAACATTAATTTTACCAGGTATTCCATTACTTTCCATAAGATTACCTGTTAATACATCAATTCCCCATAAATCATATCTAAGACGACCAGATCCAATTACACCTCCTACACATGAACCATAATGTAAACCTATTCTCATATTTAAATTAGGAATATATAATTTTTCTCTAATTTCTTTTATAATTCTTATCATTGAGTAAGCCATTTCTAAAACTCTTTCAGTGCCATCAACAGGATCATAATCTTGATTATCTTCGGTTACTGGTTCACTTATTGCTACATATGCATCACCTATTGTACATAATTTATATAAACCATATTTTGTACTATCGTTATCAAATTTTGCAAATAATTTTTGTAACAATGTTAAAACTTCGGAAGCATCGACACCATTTGCCCATGATGTAAAACCACAAATATCAGCGAATAGAAATGTTAGTCTATCATGCGTATAAGCTAGTTTTAATTTATCTTGTTGAAATTCTTCTAATACATGTTTAGGAAGCATATCATTTAAAAGTTCCGTTGCCCTACTTTCTGTCCTTTTTGCGCTTTCATTGGCATAAAAGGTTCTTCTATCAATTGATTCCTTACAATAAGTTGATATTAAATTAAATGCAACATACCAAGGTATTAATAGAACTGTTGAATCAGTTGTTATTGTTGTCACAACACTTGTTGCTATAAAAGTTAATGACATAGTAATAAATAATAAATCAACTAATATACATGTTTGAAATAGCATTCCAGTATTATGATGCAATATAACTAAATAAAAAAAAAATTCAATAGTATCGTTTGTCATCCATATAGTGTAGGAAGACATTTGATCTGCTTCTGATATGGCCCATAAATATGCTATAGAAAAAACACATGCTGCAGATATAAATAATAAATTTAAGAAAAATATCATCCATTTAATATTTAATAAAGAAGAGACTTCTGGTCTAGTTCTGTAATGAAATAACAACCATAGCATGAACCCAAAAAAAGTATAAACGGATCTTACTGACCAATATGCAAAATAATTAATTTGCAATGTTTGTGTAGTTCTTTTATGATCCACAAATACTATGGAAACTGTGCTTGAAATTAATGTTTGCATAACAAAAGTAACTAAAAAAATGATAAGTGCTTGTTCAATCGTATTTATATTTGATTTGTTACTATAAAAATGTGCTCTATATTTGGCCTCTAGATTTTTGTCACTAAATTTTAAAAATAGCCATTCACTGTTTATGCCAATTAATCTTTTCGGTTTTGTTTGATCTTCTCTTCTATATAAATTATCACTTTCTTTTCTATTATTTTTTAAAATGGCACATATATTTGAAAAATACAGACAAATTTTCGAAAAGTTAAATATGTTTTTCTTAAAATTTTCATTTTTTTCTTCTTCTTCCTCCTCTTTTTTAACATCCTTTCTTTTATTTTTTAAATAATTCCTTCTTATATTACTTAACTTTTTATGATACTTTACATGATTTACATGATCATAATTGGCACATTCATTTGGAGTACAATAATTTTCACTACAATTGTTACATTTTCGAGTACAAAGATGAATATTTTTATAATTTTCTTCATTATGATCATGTATTTCTTTGCTAAAATATAGAAGGTTGTTAATATTTTTCCTATTATTTTGCTCCATTTCTTCTTGACTTTTTTTTTTTTCATTATCACTGTCTTTTTTGATTAAGTTTTCATTTAAATAATAAATAGAATCGTTTAATGATAATTTATTTATCCCAACTTCTAAATCTTTTATCTCATCAAAGCCTTTTGTGCTTTCAAGATATTGATTAAAGTTTGTTGTAGAATCATTATTTATTCCAGAGTTTAAAAAGCTCATATTAAAGAAATCTTTTTGCTTTAATTGATAGCCAACAGCTGTACCAATTTTAAGATTCCTTAATTTTATAATTTCATAGTAATGAGTATTAACATCTTTTATGTATTCATTGGGAAAATCATGCAGCGATAAATCTTTAAGATTTACATAACCATTATTTGTATCATTATTAGAAGCATTATAACTATTCACATCATTATTATAAATGGTCTCATTTAAATTATAATCATTATTTTGATTTTTTCTATTGGAATAATAACTTAAAATATTTTGTGTTTTGTCATAATTTATTTTGCTACTTAAGTCATTATTTACATAAAAATCAGATAAAAATTGGCTTTTATTTTCTACATTTTCTCCCCAAAATGGATAACTTAATCCTATAACAGATGTTAACAAATAGGTAGTCATAGTTCCTTTTCCTTTAATTTCTGTTTCTTTTTTTTCATAAATTAACGTCTTATCATCTTTAACTAAATTATATGTTGCTTCTGATATATGAATATAATCTGGTTTTCCTGTGGTTTTCATTCTTGAAGCAGTATTAACTGTATCACCAAAAAGAGCATATTGTGGTTTTTTAGAACCAACAACACCAGCAATAATTCTTCCTGAATGAATACCTATTTTAACCCTAATTCTTGTTGGTCTACTATCTGATCCTTTTCCTTTATTTATATCTTTTGAATCATTATTATTGTCTTGATTTTTAGTATCATTATACTCATAAGAATCATTTTTTTTTAGCATGTGTTTTGTTTTTTCATACTTAATATGACTACTAACCTGAAGAATAGACAAGGCAAAATCAATAGAATCATGAGCATCTTCTTGACCTTTATCATCTTTATTAGTATCATCTTCTTTTTTTACTAAACCACATGCAGCTAAATAAGTTTCGAAAACTGTTTCAATTTTTGTGCAATTAAATTGTTCTGTACATTTATCAAAACATAAAAACAACCTATCTAATACTTCTACAAGCCTAGTAGGTTCAATACTTGCAACTATATTTTGAAAATCATGTATATCACAAAAAATAATGCTAACTATGTTCATATCTTCTGCTTTCAATGAAACAGGTATACCTTCTTCATTTAATTCGGAATATATCATTTCATCAACAACAAAAGGAGGAAGCATAGTATTTAATATTTCTCTTTGTTTTCTTCTAGATGATTCTACTGAATATTCCAATAAAAAATTTTTTCTTTGATTATATTCTAGTCGATATCCTACGAAACCGACAAAAACGTCAACACCTATAAACAAAGGAATATAATGAGCTAACCCTTTTTTATCTAAAAAGTGATCTCCTTTAAATCTAATAATGAAAAGACTCAAAAAGATAATATTGCATAAAACTGCATTAACAAAAGGTAATCTTAATATAACAAATGTATATAATGGAAATAACACTGCTTGAAAAACTCCATCTATGTGAGTTATTGAATAACTTACAACATGATGAGTTATTATTAATATAACCACTGCACTAATAATTTTGTTAAAGTTTTCAATAAAAATATTAGGGAAAAAAGTTGTAACTGTTGCAGCTAATAAAACTACTTCTAATAATAAAGATAAAATTAATATAAATAAATCAGTAGATGCATCAGAAGATATATTCCATATTTCACTTAAAGATGTTTCTAATTTCCATACATATAAAAAAAATATTCCTAATAAAATAAAAATGAAGCGATACCAAGGTATAAAGGTTTTGTAAAATTTATTCTTCTTATGTATTTGAAACCCAGACTCTAATTGCATGTCTTTAAATGCTAATGTAAATCTATTAATTAAATGACTAACTTTAACAATTTCTTTTTGCGTATTTTCATTTTTCTTTTTATTATTATTTGAACTTTCAGCACTAGTATAAGAAAATTCAGAAAGAGATTCATTATCATAAAATTCAGCTCTATTTTGTATGATGTGATAATTTCTTGTATTAACATCTAATGCATCTGGTATATTTTCCATTCGTTCATTATTTTTAAAAAATATGTGCTCTTCATTAATTCTAAATCTTTTTCCTTGAGGTAATAAATCTACTAAAAAAGTATTTTTTAATGGATTTAAACAATTTTTCATTTCAATCATTAATGATTCATCGATTCTTGAATTAGATTCTTTAAAATCTTTAATTTTAGAAATGTCACTAAAATAATCATTAATATAGTAGTCTCTTTCGTTAAAATTTTGGTCCATCTCTTTTAAGTCATTCTTGTATTCTGTTATGTTACTGTTAATTGGGCTTTTGTTATCATTCTTAAGATATTTTTTTTCATCATTTTTATTAAGACATTTTTTATTAAAGGTGTTATTTTTATTTAATGAATCAAAATTATTTTGGCTTCTTCTAGATTTAACACAGTTAGTTTCTTCTTCATTCTTTTCCAAGTATTCTTTTTTACTAAATTTATTTTCACTTTTTAGTTTTTCTGTCATATATCTTCCTTCATTTTCATCTCTTTTTTTTTCTTCTATGTTTCGAATATCTTCTTTTTTCTTATTTTTTTTCATGTTTTTTACATCTTTACTTTTATCTCTTTCATTTTTTGTATCTTTAATATGTCCTTCATGTTTCACACCTTTACTTTTATTACTTTCAATTTTTATATCTTTACTTTTATCTCTTTCATTTTTTGTATCTTTAATATGTCCTTCATCTTTCACACCTTTACTTTTATTACTTTCATTTTTTATATCTTTACTTCTATATCTTTCATTTTTTACATCTTTACTTTTATCTCTTTTATTTGTTATATCTTTTCTTTTTTCTCTTTCATTCTTTGTATCTTTAATATGATCTTCATTTTTTATGTCTTTTTTTTTATCTCCTTCATTTTTTATATCTTTTTTTTTAATTCTCTCTTCTCTTATGTCTTTTACTTTATCTCTCTCATCTTTTAAATCTTTATTTTTTTCTTTTTCATATTTTGAAATTTTTTTCTCTTTCTCTTTATTTTTCATATCTCTTTTTTTTTCATCTTTTGTATATTCTTTGATTTTTCTTTCTTCTTTTTCTATTGTATGACCTTTTTCTAAATGTTTTTTATCTTCTTGTTTTAAATTTTTTTCTTCTTCTTTGTATACAATTTTCTTATTTATTGTTTTTTCTTTATTATTTTTTTTTTTTATATATATCGAATTTTCCATAGAATGAGAAGCCTGTTCTGATAATATAAATTTTGTTCCCTTAGGCTTTTGTTCTTCATCAAGATCATTTTTATAATCTAAATCAACACTGGATTTATTTAAGTCACTAATTTTGGAATTTTTGGATTGATTAAACCATTTTGAAAAGGACGCACTTTTAAAAGATTGTTGATCCTTTTTATAGTATTTGGTATTTTTTTTAAAAGCACTTTCTAAAGAAGTATGTTTTTTTGTAATTTTAAGATCGTATTTTTTATTTCTTTTCCTTATAAATTTACACTTAAATTTTTTACCTAATTTTTTTAAAAATTTATTCTTACCTGATGGGAAAAAAACATATTTATATTTATTATGCTTTTCTTGATATTGCTCATATAGCCAATGATTAACAACATTATAAATATTAGGAAAAAATACAGCCTTCATAAAATTGATAAAAATATAAGAAATAATGCAAGTAGTAAACCAAAGAATTAAAAGAACATATAAAGGTCCCCACAGAAAAGTTTGTCTAAATATTTCCCTAATATATTCATTAGAAACATAAGCAAAGAAAATAAAAATTATTGATGGGAAAAAAACAAAAAGAAAAACACCAAATAAAGTAATAACGATAGAAGGTGACCACAAAGACCCTTCTAAAAAAAGACGAAGAATAGAAATCAATAAACTCCCCAAAAAACAAACAGTACCAAATGTATTTATTGTAATAACTTCTCCATTATTTAAATGAGAATTTTCTTTAAGTGCTGCATGAGCAAAAAAAAACACAATCATAGAATAAAATATGCCTTCAATTATCCATGGTAAAAATTTTAGGCTATTCATATTATATTTTCTTCTACTTAATGCATAAAATAAAGGAATATTATACAATATATCATAATTTAAATTATGTTGTAAAAAAATATAATATATAATTGGTACAAATATCCAAAATATATTAAAAAATGTATATAGCAAATCGGGATATATCTGTATACAGCTCCAGGAGGCATAAGCTTGATAAAAAAAAATAGGTAAGACGACAGTTATATTTTTAAAAAAATTCCAATATAAAATAATACTTATAGTATATAAATGTTTAGAACCATATATAAATAGTAATTTTCTTAAGTAGCAAAACTTCTTTATGCAATAGTCTGAATATCCTGCTGATATAATGCATTCAGAAGTCATTATACTTACCCCTATATTAGCTTCTTGAATCATAGCAATATCATTTGCTCCATCTCCTATAGCTAATGTATTTGGTGTTGGATATAATCGATTTTTTATTAAGCGAACTATAAATGCCTTTTGTTTCGCTGTTATTCGGGAAGCTATAACTACATCAGAACTACATGCCATATTTAGAAAATGAGTTTGTAAGTCAGTGTGATTTAAAAAAGTTTGCAAATTTTTCCCAGTTATTAATAAACATAAATTTTCATAAGGTTTTTTTTCTTCTTTTTCCATGTGAAATAATTCATATAATGCCATTCCTTCTTTTTTTAATTTTTTGCTGTTACTATTATCTAATATAGCATGAAATATTTTTGTATGTGGATTTAGAAACTTGCATAGAAATGCAATATGTAAAGAATATTCCACATTATCACCTGTTAGCATCCATATTCTAATACCAGACTGATTTAGTATTTCTACTGTTTTAGTTACTTTCTTTTGTAATCTATCTTTCACTCCTGTTATTCCTAAATAAATTAAATCCTTCTCTACTTCTTCAGCAACATTTTCTAATCTTTGCTCTCTATTATATATAGATAAACAGGCATCATCATACATTCTCTTATATTTAGTAGTTTCTTCTTCATTTAAATATTTAAATGCAAATACCATCGATCTTAATCCCTGCACAGAAAACCTTCTTAATTGCTTTTCCAATTCTCTATATCTTTCCTTAATTTTATAATGTTCTGTTTTTGTATACGAATCTTTTTCTATATTATTCGTTATATCACAATAATCCTTTTTGACCTCAAATTCATCTGAATAGTTATATTCTATTTTTTGATTATCATACTCCTTATTTTCATTCATTCGGGATTTTAAGGAAAAGTTTTTTATATTTTTAAGGCTTGAATATTTATTTTTTTCTGATTCTTCTATTCTAGGACTTTTGTTTTTTAGCTTAATTTTATTTTCCCTTTTCTTTTTTTTATTTTTTCTTTTTTCTAAAAATCTACTATATTTTAAATTTAATAAAGATAAAATAGATGCATCAGAACCTTTTACATATAAGATAGATCCTGTAGTCATATGTTCTGGCTTTACAACAACTGACATTCTTCCTCTTCTATTAGTGAATTCATTAATTCCAATAATGGTCCATTTGTAAAAGTTCCCATCAATTTCTATACACATTGTATTTTTGTTTCTTAATACCAACCTGTATCCTAAATAACTAGAAGTATATATTAAACATTCTTCATCTAAAGAACTTGACTGATATTTTATGGCATCTAAATATGCATTAGACTCTGCTACATTATTATCCATATTTTTAATATCTTTGTTTTTTTCTGATTCATAATCAGAATTTCCATAATTTTTTCCTATTTTTTTTTGAGATTTTTCTTCACATTCCATGTTGCTTTGTTCACTTATAGAAGATATATTATAATAATTTTTTTCATTTACTTGACGCGATTTGCTTTTGTACCTTTTCCCACTGTTTTTAGTGGATGTAAAACTATTAAAAATTGATGGTTTTTCTTTAGATATTTGTTTAAAGGATACTGCACTATGTCTTTTTGTTGAATGCAAAGTTTCTATTTTTTCATTGTTCATCTTTGATATTATATTTTTATTTTCTTTAGTATTTACGTATTTTTGCAATCCATTTATGTCTTTTTTTTCTATTGATCTACAAATGTCTGAACTTTTACAAGATATAGAACTTTTTTTTTTTCTTCTATAATTTTTATCAAAAAATTTTGACTTCATTTTAATTCTTTTGTTGTTTTTATTTTTTAGATTAATCATAGAACTGTAATAATATGTATTTTTTTTATTTTCATTTGTTTTCATTTTTAGTTCATTTTCATAGTTATCAACCTTTTCAAAAAAATTTTTTTTTTTGTTTGTTTTGATACCTTGATTAAAAATATATTCATTTGACTTATGAAAATTTATGTCATCTTTGTTTCTAATTAAGTCACTAGAAAAATGCTTTGGACTGCTATTCCTTTCCATATTATGAGAAATACCCTTAGAACTTCTTGAAGGAAAATGCATTGAGTGTTTATTCCTTATATAATCAAATTGAATAAACGGTGTAACTGCATGGCATAAAGTTATGCATTTAAAAAATTCGTCTATATAATAACTTCTCCAATTATCTGAGTTTAAATCATCATATATTCTTTTGTCATTAAAATCACATCGAGATTTTATTGAATCTGAGTTCATATTTATCCTAAAATTTTTAGGTCTCACAAACTTTTGTTGCATTATGTAGTTTTGATAATTTTTATCAAAAAAATAGAAATCATTATTTGATTCTTCCGCATTTTCATATTTAATGTCAACCTTTTTTTCCCATTTTTTTTCATTTTTTACGTTATTCAAATTAACATAATAGTTTTTTTCTGTATTCTCAGAAAATGTTTTATTACTGTTCATATCATTATTTATTTCAAGGTTGTCAAAATTAGAAGATGAATAAAAATAAGATGAATTAAAATCATCTGATGAGGAAGAATCCGTTGATGATAAAGACGAGGACATAGTTAAAGAATTTTGTGAAGATGGATATCTATTAAATGTATTACAATTTTTATAACCAAATTTTTTATTTTTGTAATTCCATGAAGAACTTGATTTATAACTAAGAGTATTTTTATTATTATCATTAATGTTCTCTTTGTTGGAATCATTATTATTAATTTTTTCATAATTGACTTCTTTAATTTGATTTTCTTCATTAAGATCATTAATATTTTTAACATTTACTTTATTATATTCGTTCTCATGTTTATCTGTAATAAATTCATTTTTATCATCTTCTTTTACTTGCCGTTTTTCATTTATTTCATGAGTTCCCAAATAATGCTTATTGCTATCTTGTGTAGCAAATGATATTTTTTTTGAAGATGGATCTTCTGAATTTTTTTTCTTATCAGCATTATTATCATAATAATGTTTCTTATTATATTTAGAAATTTTATTTTTATAACTTTTTATTTTTTTAACTTTATTTCCATATGTTTTTCCTCCTATAGAACACATATTAAAAGACATATCATTATTTGTTAATGTACCTGTTTTATCAGTAAATATAAAATCAACATTTCCCAAATCTCCATGCATATTGGAATTTAAGCAAAGTCCCCACCCACAATCATCATCATTTATTACATATTTTCCTTTATCTGCATCATATTTTTTCATTCCTTTTTTCCTTTCAAATCGATTTACATTATCAACTGTAACATCTACATTTTTTTTATTTTTTAAAAATGGAAAAATTATATTAAATATATTTTTTTTTTTTTTATGTAAGTCTTTATTATTTTTGAGAATAATTTTATTATTATTCTTATTTGTATTATATGTTATTTTCCTAGTTTTATCTTCTTCTTTTTCTTTTATAACCTTATCATTTTCTTTTATACCTTTTTTTTCTTCATATTCTTTAACACACACATCATTCTTAACAGATTCATTACAATAAATGTTATGCATAGATAAATTTCTTGTAGAATCTATGTTATATTTTTCTTTATTATATGTATTAATATTTCCATTTAAATTGGAATTCATTTGTGCATTTTCTTTTTTAAAAATACTTCTTATATTATCTAAAAGACTATTTTTTTTACTTTTTGCAGAATAATCACCTTCTTCAACAGAACTCTTATTATAAATAGTATTTGTTTGTAATTTGGAGAATTTATGATTTTTTTCATTAAGAAAATAATTTTTAATTGTTTTTAATTTATCGAAATTACTTATGAAACTTTTTCTTTTATCAGAATTTGTTTCTGTATTAGTAGAAGAGTGCTTATTTTTAGGAAAATTTTTACTAAAATTGTTTAAAAAGAGTGTATATTTTCTAAAAAAATTATATGATTTTTTCATTCTTAAATCGGCAACTTCTTCATTTTCATCAGTGATAGACGGTTCTGATGATTCATTTTCAAATGTACTAATACGGTTATCATTTTCTATTAATAAACTTTGTAAGATAGAAATTAGATCTATAGTAATCAAAATACTAATAGGAATGGTATTTGAATATAATAGTATATATTTTACAATTGATTCAAATAAATTATCTTTTACAGTTATTAAAAAAAAGTGAGAACCGTTTTTAAATTTATCATCTTCTGTCCATTTACATAATACTGAAATGAAAACACAAATTAATGTAAAAAATATAGCAATAATAGTATATATATTCAATTCTTTGTTAACATATCCTGATTTGTAAGAATTTTTTAAAATATTTTTTATAATTTTAGTATCAACCCCTGTATATATAATAACACCAAAAATATAGTCTGTATTTTTAATATGAGAACCTTTAAAAACAACATTGTTAATTGATAAAGAGGTAGCACGGGGATGAGCATCTAACTTTAATGATCCGTTAAATGATTCCATATTACTATCAGGCTTTTCGCATACTATTCTACCTTTTATATTGCAAACACCATATATAGATGTTTCATTTCTAGTTTCATTAACACAATATTTTTTATTTAAATTGGTTTCACCATTTAGTAGAGAAGTTTCAATATAAACTAATCCATCAGAATTATTACAACTTAATAAAATAATGTCTGCAGGAACTTCTTCATTTTCTATTAATCGAACTATATTACCAACAGTTAAATCCATCCATCGGACTGCTTTTAATTGAGAATTATGACCATCAATAATATGACAAAGTCTATTATTTATTTGATAATCTATATTAGATCTTCTTGAATCTTCATATATATTTTTTATAATAGATATGCACATAAAGAATATTAATAAAAATATAGATGAGTGTTTAGAATAATACGTATAATTAGTCAAACTTTGATAAGCAGGTATGAATTCTAATATAGATATTAATAAAAACCATATATTAGGTAAACGTAACAGTTGTTCATATAAACTCTTAAAAATAAAGGAATATGTTCCATATCTATTGGATGATATTTTATTTGAAGGAAAGCTAATTAATTCATCTGTATCTGTTGGGTTTATTTGAATTTTTCTAAAATGCCATAATGGTTGATTATTTGCATCTTTATATAATTTTTGCTTTTTTTCTATCCACGCTGCTTCTGCTGTTGTAAAATCATTTTGATTATTTTCATTGAAATTATGGTTTTTCATATTTAAATTGTTAGTATATAATTTTCCTGAATATTTTACTTTATAATTATTGTTAGTTTTCTCTTGCTTATTTTTTTTTTCTAACATTCTTTTTATTTAAGTATTTCTAAATAAAAAACCATAATAAACTAGGATCTATCATATTTATATAAATATACAAATATATATATATCTTATATCTATATAAATATAAGGTATATAGATATTTATATTTTATTTATATATCTATCTCTTTTTATTTACATCTATTTATGAACATATTTATGTGTATAATTAAATACATATACAACATACATATGTAGTAACATGTTTATACATTTACATATTAGTATTTACACATTTTTAATTTTCACAACCTAAAATAAAAAGGAAAAGAGAAATGGGAAAAAAAAAAAAAAAATAAATAAAATAATGCATATATTGTAATTATGTCACAAAAAAAGCATATAAATAAAGATATATTTATTGAAAATTGTTTTTAAAAAAAGAAATGTAAGAAGATAAAGAACAAATATATATGTCTATTTATAGAAACAGATATATAAAATTTTTGTTAAACATTTTTTAACAATAAAATAAAAAAGTTATTTATAAATAATAATTAAACAAAAAAGAATACAAAAAATTTTATTATTATTAATATTATTTTTTTGGAAAAAGTAACGACTATATTTATAAAAGGTATCTTATTTTTTTAATATGTAAACACGTCTAAAATTATCTGTAAAAAAGATATATTTTTCTTTTCTTTTTTATTTAGATTATATATTTAAAAAAAAACTTTTTTAAAATAAAAGAATTATTATTAAAAAAAAAAAAAAAAAAAAAAAAAAAAAAGAGTAATATTTTAAAAAAATAAAATAAAATAAAATTATATGTATAAAAAAGAGAATTAAATTTAGATATGCTAAAAATGATAAAAAAAAAAAAAAAAAAAAAGGAAAAAGGAATATAAGAAAAATTAAAAAAAAAATGTAAAAATTTTGCATGTAAACAATAGCATTTCTTATGAATAAATAAAAATATTAATGAATAATATATAATTAAAACAGACACTATAAATACTTTTTTTTTTTTTTTTTTATTTTAATTTTTACTATTTGTAATTTCACAAAAGCACATATAAATAATAAAATAAATAGAAAAAAAATGGGTACATAAAATCTTAATTATATGTGTACATTTATACACATACTAAACAAGAGAATAAAACATTTACAAATTTATACAACAATCAAAAATATATAAACTAATAAATTAAATACTTAAGAACAAAAATTTTTCTATTAATAAATTTCACATTAATATATTCTTATAAAAAATGTGCAATATAATAAGTAAAAAAAAAAAAAAAGTTCATATTTATTATTTTCGTATTATTAATGCATTTCCAGTAATGTTATTAAAATTATAGGGAATACATATATTTTTTATATGTTTTAAAAAATAATACAATCTTTTAAAATTTAAAAAACATTAAAAGAAATAAATTATAAATCTTCTAAATTATTGAAATTTGTTATTTATACTAAAGATTAATATAAATTTCATTTTTTTTCATTGAAAAATACTGAATGATTTTTTTTTTTTAATATTTGAGAAATCATCCATTTTTTCTGAAAAATGAAAAATAATTACTGTTTTATTATAAAATGTATTTTAAATTTAAAGAATATACTTAAAAATAAAATAAAAATATATTCTGTTGTATTTTTTCATATGTATAATTTTCATTGTTAGTCATTTTAATATATATTATTTAGTAGAGAAGTAGAATGTCTGAAAGAAAAAAAAGAAAAAACACAAAATAAAAAATAATCAATAATACTAAATAAATGTAAATTTTAAAATAGTAAAAAATATATTTCTAGGAATATAAAAAAAAAAAAAAATAAATTTATTTCTTATTACGTTTAATCTAAGCTTTAATTTAAATGTAGATTTAGAAAAATGTATTATTATATAGAGAATATATATTTTTATTTTTTAAACAAATTTTGTTTTTTTATTATGATATATAAAGTAATACTATTTATAAAAATGAATATATTAATATTAATATAATATCTTACAAAATGAACAAAAGTAGAAATAATTTTATTTTTCAATTTTTAAATAACTTTTACTATTTAAAGTTATATATGCTTTTTTATTAATAGTATTTTGCTTTTATATATGTCCAAAAAAAAAAAAAATATTGGTTTATCGCACTTTATCGCACATATTACTTTAATAAAAAGGGAGATTCTGAATATTTTATAACAATGTTGTATTTCAAAATATGAATTATAAAAAAAAGTGAAGTTTTAAAAATGCGAAATATATTTATATATACTTTTATATCTCTTCTCAATTATTGTATTATCAAAAAAATTATTAAAACATTCAAGAGTTTATTAATTTTCTTCATTCTAAATTTATTCTTTTTTTTTTAAAAAATTAGTAAGATTCTCAATAAATAAATATGAAAGGAATACATATATATATTTTTAATGGATTTTTTTTTTATCCTCATTAACTCATTTATTAAAAAATATTTATATAAATATAGTACCTTTTTATATATATTACATTTCATATTAGAAATATGAAAAAATAGAATACTATATAAGAATTAAAATTTTATAATAAATATAATATATATATGTATATGTAAAAAGTAGAACAATTTTTAATGAAATAGTTAAATATTAGTACGAATATATATAGAACTTTATTAAAAATGTTGTCTTATTTAAAAAACAATCTCTGCTATATTTTTTCTTTTCTAATGTAAATAGAATTTTTTTTTTTTTTCATAAAAATACAATAAAAAAAAAGAAAAAAATACACATATTCAGATAACAAAATTCTTTTTAAAAAGGAATAGATTGAATGAAATGAATATTAGCTTAAATATTTTAAAATATATATTTTTCAAACACATGAAGTATTTTGATAAAAAGAAACAAACAAAAGATTAAAAAAATTTAACAAGCTAGGAGATTTAGAAAATCACAGAATTTTTATATAAATTTTTAAAAAAATATTTTAATTTACATAAAAAAAAATGTGTAAAATTTTTTTCTTTAAATTATTCTTATATTTATATGAAAAAGAACAATAAAATTTTTCCATTTAATCAAAAATTTTTTTTTTTTTTAGATTTAAAACAAAGAATATAAAACATATTTATAAATTGCTTAACATATTTAAAATTATTAAATAAAAAAAAATTATTAGAAAATAAATAATTCAATTTTCAAAAAATTTCATTATATTGTTTATTAATAAAAATTACACTATAATTTTTATTAACAATTTATAATTGTTTTATTATAAGATTAAATAGGATAAATATTAATAGTAAGAAAAAGGAAAAAACGAAAAAAAAGAAAAAAGGAAAAAAAAGAAAAAAGGAAAAAAATATATTCATAGTGTAATGTATATTTGAGGGTTAATTATTCATGCATTTCACTTTTATAACCTAAAAATATATTAAAAATTCATTCATTGGATAATATTGAGAATATGAAAAATTAACTTAGTGGTGTTTAAAATTTAACCTTTTTATTATTTCATACGTGTATAAAAACATATATAGATAGTGAAAAATATAATATATTAGTAGGATTAAAAAATAAATATTCAATAATTTAAATGTGCGCATAAATTCTTATAAACATATTCATTGGGAAAATAGGAATTATTACGTTAAAATGTCTTCAGATTATAATTCGCAAAGGAAAATAAAAAAAAATTTTTTAATTTTTATAAAAATAAAAATTTATTGTGTACAATGAAATATTAACAATGGAAATTATAAAGTATTTATATATATATAAATATATATATATATAAAAAAAAAAAAAAAAAAAAAAAAAAAAAAAAAAAAAAAAAAAAAAAAAAAAAAAGTACTTAATACCTTTTTAAATAACGTAAGTGCCACTAATATATTATTATATTTCATTTTTTTTTTTTTTTATTAAATATTAAAATATATATATATTATTTTAAATAAATATTTGTTTTTTTTAAATGAATTATTTATAAAATATATTTCTTTAATTTAACAAAAAATAATCAAAGTAATATTTTAGTAAACGTGTAAAAGTATTATATAAACCCTGAATTTTAAATAATATATCGAAGATACGTTAACATTATTTTTTGCATTTTCTTTTATTATATACAGAAATAACATTAATGAAAAAAATTTACATATGCATATATATAAATATTTTTTTTTTGATAGCTGATATATACATATATATAAATACAAGGCATCAATGGCTTTATGACACCTAAAAATATATCCTATTTATTTTATTTTATTTTTTTAAATAAAAAAAAAGTTGTGCAAAACGAAAAATTGTATTAATAAAATGTATAAAAAATTAAACAAAAAAAATACATAAGAGCGTAATTATAATGAATTACTGAATGTGTTGCGTGATGCATATCATAATTAAAATAATATATTATATAAGCATTTAAAAATTTAAACAAAATTTAAGAGAAAAAAAAAAAAAAAAATACATTTTAAAATATTCTATGTATATTTTTACTCAAGTTTTTCATACAATTTTACTATTAAATATATATTTATTTTTTTTTTTTTTATCATTTTTATAATTAATGCTATAATTAATTTTTTTTTTTTTTTTTTTTTTTTTTTTCCAATCAATAAATATCATATTTTCTATAAAAATTAATTTTTTTTTAATTTTACAATTTTTAAATATTCTCATTAAAAAAAAAAAAAAGTTTTTAGCAAACAAAATAAATGTTACTAAATATCTTTAAAGCTATAAGTTAAGGGAAAGTCATCAGTAAACAAATTTGAAGTATAATATTAATAAAGAAATATACATATTTACATTTTGTTAAATTTAAAATAAAAATTATAAATAATAAATATATAACTAATAAACAATATATTATTGATGAACATTTAAGTAAATAAAGGTGAATAAATGAATAGCAAAGAATAAAAATAAAGAAAAAGAAAAATTAAGAAAAATAAAAAAAAAAAAATAAAAATATGTAAATGAATATATTAAATTTGTAATTAAGTAAAATACGATACATTAAAAAAAAATAAAAGTATAAGAATAAATAGTTAAAATTTTTTACAATAAAAAGAAATAAATATTCGAATAAAATTAGTGTAAGATTAGATAAATAAAAGGGAATGAATTAAAAAGAGATAAAAATTATTACTTTTCTTAAATTAAGTTCAAAAAAAAAAAAAATAAAATAAAAAATAAAAAATAAAAAAATAAAATAATAAACAACATACAAATAAAAAATGAACATATAACACTAAAATATATTTAAAAAAATTAATTATACTTAACATTAAAATATAATATAATATAGAATATTGAAATTCATATAGTGATATATAAATCTTAAGAATTTAAGTAAAAATAAAAGTAAAAAAAAAATAAATGGAAAATAATAAAGATAAATCTATTATATATGAATTTGGAGTAGATAAATGAATTAATCATATAATGCTATCCTTTAATATCTTTTATTAAAAAAAAAAAAAAAAAAAAAAAATACATATACATATATATATATATATATATATTTCGTTTTGCACATATTTTTTATATGTAAAATTATTATTAATGTTATTATAATTATCATTTAAAATTTTTTTTTCGTATTGATAATTTAAATAGATGGGAGCTTATTTATCATCACCAAAAACAAATAAAGAATCTTGTGATGGGGGGAATTTAGAAGTAGACCCAAGTAGATTTGGGTTATCATGTATGCAAGGTTGGAGAAAAAATATGGAAGATAGTCATATTTGTTATAATAATTTAAAATTGAAAGAAATAGAAGAAGATATTTCTATATATGGGGTATTTGATGGGCATGGTGGGCCAAATGTATCAAAATGGATCTCATATAATTTTCGTAGAATCTTTTTAAAATGTATAAAAGAAGCAAATGAAGAATTAATAAAACAAAATTTGGATAAATCAATAAATTTTAAACTTAAACTTATTAAACTAACTCTTGAAAAAACCTTTTTAAAACTTGATGAGGAAATGTTATTAACAGAAAATCAAGAAAAATTAAAAAAATACAGTGTTCCTACTCAAGAAAATGAAGAAGAGTCAGATACAAGAGAAAATTATATATATTCTATTTTGAATGATATAATGTCAAAAAATATTAGTATTAAAGCTATAGAAAGAGATGGAAAGAGATGCTTACAAGTTGTTTATAATAAGGATGGAAATCCTGTAGGAGAAGAAGGGAGTGCAGATCCATCTTCTTTATCAATTAGTGAAGAAAACTGTGTTTCTGAAGATAATAATAAATCATCTCCATTATTTGATAGTGTCGATCAAGAGTTAACAGATGAAAAATATGATTCAGTAGTTAATAAAGAAGATGAAGAGGAAAATAAAAGTAATGAAAATAATGATATGATTAAAAAAGATGATGTAAACTCCGATTCTATAAATACAAATGATAATAATGGAAGAGTGAAAGAAGAAAAAGAAGAAAAAAAAATAAATATTGATATAGAAGAAAATAAAGATTCTAAAAAAGAAAATAAAAATCTAGAAGAAAATAATGATTATGTAGAAAATAATAAAATAAATGGAGAAAGTACAGATAAAGAAATAAAATTATCCAATAATGTAAAGGTAGAAGAAAGTATGGATAATAATAAAGGAATGTCAAATTTAAATGAAGAACAAAATGTAATGTTACCAACAATAATAAATGAAGAAAATAAAATTAAAACAATAGATGATAATAAAGAAAACTCCGATTGTATGGATAATGAGGAAACTAATGCAATAAATACAAAAAGATTAAAAAAGGATATAACTAATTGTTTGAATAATGAAAAAGATATTAAAGAGGAAGAAAAATTAAAAAATAAAGAAAATGACAAAGTAGAACTAGGAAAATCAGAATTGACTTATGATAATTTGAAATGTATGGAGGAATCTTCAGAAGGAAAAAGTTATCTCAATGAAAGTAACAATAATAACGACACACATGGAAATATAAATTACGAAGAAAATTCAACAAGGTTATATGAAAGAAGTAGTAGTAGCAGTGAAGAAGGAATCTATGATGAAGCAGTAACAAATGTGATTGATAATAATATAAGTAGCAGTAGTGAAAATAACAATGAAGGAGAAGATTGTAATGGAATATATTCCTCTGAAGAGTTACGCTTATTTGAAAATTATTATTCAAATGATTATGAAGATAATATAGCTTATAGTTGTGGATCAACTGCCTTAGTAGCAGTTATATTAAAAGGATACTTAATTGTAGCTAATGCAGGAGATTCAAGAGCTATAGTTTGCTTCAATGGAAATTCTTTAGGTATGTCTACTGATCACAAACCCCATTTGCAATCAGAAGAAGCTAGAATTAAAAAGGCTGGTGGTTATATAGCTAATGGAAGAGTAGATGGAAACCTAAATTTAACCAGAGCTATTGGGGATTTACATTATAAAAGAGATCCGTTTTTACCTCAGAAAGATCAAAAAATTTCAGCATTTCCTGAAATTACATGTGTTACTTTAACACCTGAAGATGAATTTTTATTTCTTGCATGTGATGGAATTTGGGATTGCAAAGAGGGACACGATATTGTTGGTTTTGTTAAAACAAGACTAGAAAAATTTGAAGAAATTACTGATGATAATACTGTTTGTAATGGGGTTAATAATGAAAATAATAATAATAGTTGTAATGAAAATGAAAATGTGAAAGATATTGAAAATAAGTTAAATAAGGATGAAAATTCCAATAGTCAAGAAAGTGAACAAAATGATGAAATTCATATTAAAAATATAGATAACAATGTTACATATAAGGATGATAATAATGATACATTATATCAAGACGAAAATAAAATTAACACATCTCAGGAAGAAAACAAGGATGAAAATGAAGTAAAAGAAAATAATGAAGATAAACACAATTCTCCACAAGTTATAGAAAGAAAAAAATTCGAAAAATTCAACAAATTATCACAAATATGTGAAGAATTATGTGATGAATGCTTATCTAATAATTATAAAGAAAATGATGGTATTGGTTGTGATAACATGACTTGTTTATTAGTCCAGTATAATCCACTTTATAAAATGCAGACAGAAAAGAAATTTTTAAATATTGATGAAATTGATTAATGAAGAGAACAAATAATAAAAAGAATTAAAAAAACAATTAAAGCAATTTAAATATATACATATATATATATATATATATATATATATATATATATATATATATATATATATATATATATATATATATATATATATCGGTTATAAATATTATATAATTATTGATATTATTATATAATAAAAGTAATATTTGTTATATTTAGTTAAAAAGTAGAAATAAAGATATTTAATTATGTTTTTTATATATGTATTAAAATATATACCTATATATTTTCACTTATTTTTTTTCATTTTCTTATATTAAAATTCATATAAATTATATATAAAAATAAAAAAAAGTTTAAAGGCTCAGTTCATATGAATGAATTAGCTTTTTTATTTTAAATATATGTATGTTTTATTACACTATTATATTTTTACTTTATTTTATTATATTTTATCATATTTTTTATTTTATTTTATTATTTTTTTTTTTTTTTGAAGGTACTTTTTTTCATGTCATATTATTTATGATATCTATATAATAAGCTTTTGCACTTATTTAAATCAATGTTTATACACAAAAAAAAAAAAAAAAAAAAAAAAAAAAGTCATAAATATTTTACCTTTTTATTTAATTGTCAATTATATATTAAAACCTTTAATTTAACTTTTCATTTTTATTCTCATTTTCATTAGTTTTCATTTTCAGCTTTTTTTTTTTTTTTTTTAAACAAAGAAAAAAAGAAAGAATTTTTTTTTTTTTTTTATACATTATTCTTACTTAATTACAATATATCTAATAAAATTATATGCATAAAAAATTATTGCACATGTTTATACTTTATTATATATAGTATGTGTAAAATATTTAGAGTTTATAAATATGTACTTAACTGAAAAATAAAAAGAATTAAGTATTACAAATTATAATATTCGTTAAACAAATAAATTCGATTCTTTTGATGACGTTAAGAAGAATGTTAGCATTTTTTTTAATTTTTCTTTTAATTCATCATCATCCAAGCGGTCTAGGAAATCTAAGAAGAAAGGATTAAAAATATATAAATTTCTTAAATATTTAAAATACACATAAGCGATAACATTTAAACAACATACAAATATATAAATTTTATAAATATGAAAAAAATATATAAGAAAAGGTAATGAAAAAAAAAAAAAAATTATATATATTTACCTAGTATATTTTCATATATAGACTGTATATTTACATTTCTAGTATACAAATGAATAAATATATTATTACAAATGTATGAGTTGTTCATAAAAAAAAGGGCTATTAAAATTACATCAATTAAATGATATATCAAGTATCCCTTATCACATAATTCCATATATTCAAGATTTTTTCTGCAATCATCATCAATTTGAATATTCATTTTTTTTAAACTTTCATTTACTATTAAGTTTTCTTTTTTTTTTTTTTTTTCATTTGTTATTATATCACTGTATTTTTGTCTTAATTCTAACAGACGAATAATTTTTTCACATTTTTTTTCACCAAATTTGTTAAGAACTCTACTAAGATATGTATCTGTACAATACAAGGTTAAATTAGAAATAACTGTAATAATGTTTTCTTCAAACTCAAATAAGTTCATTTTATTTTTTTTTGGATTTCTTAACATGAATAAACAAAACAGATATTTCAATCCATTTAGTTCTATAAACTTGTTACATGTATCTTTATCATTAAGTATAAGAGCAAAGATTTTTAAAGAAGGGAAACATAAAAATTTTCTTTCACTTAGTAATTTTAACATTAATTCTAACCCTATAGTACTTTCAAAAACCTTCTTATTATTATTTAAAAGCAATAAATTTCCTAACGCTTGAAAACAATTAAGTAAAATTTCTTTTTTATATAAATTTGAAGGGTCTTTATCTTTATATTTAGAAATATACTTTAAAAGTGAATTAAAAATTGCAATAGAGTAATAAAAATCATCATAAACATTTTGAGCAAATTGATTTATTCTTAAAATAAGAAGTACTAAAATTTCACTAGCATATAATGAATTAGAATCTTCACATTTTAATTCAGTACTAATTCTTTTTAATAAAAAAAATATTAATTTTGAATTAGTCAATAAATCGTTTTGTAAATTATTTTCTAATTCAAAGATGTTTTCAAATATATTAAAAATAGAAGACATAGCATTATAGTATTCTTCACTTTCTTCTTCATTTATTTTTTCTAAAACATTTATAATAAAATGACTTAATTTTTTTTTATTTAGATATTCTATCAGAGAATCACAAACTTCTGTTTCTAATTCATATATATTTGATGGATTAGTTACTTCTTTAATAATTTCAATAACTTCTACAACAATGTCAATATTCGGATGATTTAGTAAGTCAATTATATCTTCAAAAATATCATAATCCATCATGCTTTTGTACAAATTAGAACAGACACTTAAATTTTTTGTATTTACTAATATTTCATCTAAATCGACTTCACTATTTACCCACTTTTCTGGGTTATCTGGATATTCAATTCTGTCTTGTTCATTTTTTTTTTTTTTCTTTTTTAAAACGCTTGCTAATTTTTTTATGTTACTTTCGTCAATGCATTCAACCTATAATAAAGAGAAGAAAAGAGAGTACATCAAAATTAAAATGTAACAAAATGAAAATAATACATCTAAAAAATAAAAGAAAAAAATAAATATATAATAAAAATAATAGTAAAAATATTTTCATATTATTATTTTTTTTTAAAAATTTTATATATATTTTTGAAAAAAACTATCAAAAAAAATATATAATATAATTTTTAACGTTCTCAGATTGTTTTAGTATTTCCTCTATGTCAATATCTTCATCACTGTATTCCATATTCATAATTCACATACTATTTAAAAAAATAAAAAATTATGAAAAGTTAAAAATTTAATTAAAAATGTAATACATTTAAAAATAAGAACTATAAATTCATTGCTTTTACAGAAATACTTCAAGTAAAAAATATAAAAACAAAAAAATATTACTATCAAGATATTTAAAAAATTAAAATATCTAATTAAAAAAAAAATAGATTAAAATTTTTTTAAACGTAAGTAAAAATTTACATTTCTATTATGCCTTATTTTGTAACTTGTGAACATTATTATACAAATATTTATTTATATGAAGCATTAGAAAAAAATATAATTTAAAAAAAAAAATAAAATAAAATAAAATAAAATAAAATAAAATAAAATAAAATAAAATAAAATAAAATAAAATAAAATAAAACATATTTAATGGCATTAATGTTATTATATTGTTTCTTTTTTCATTTTAAATATAAATACTTTTTTTAAAAAAGTATATATTTTAAATTAAAAATTGTTATTTTTATATCTAATTTTTTTTTTTAAAAATTTATATTCTAAAATAAGTTTTAAATAAAAAAAAAAAAAGTTATAAATCACCAGAAAAAAAATTAAATAATTATTTAGCAAAATACAAATTTATTTATATAAGATATATAAATGGAATATTTACGTATATGAAATGGAAAAAATTAAAATCAATTATTAAAAATGAAACTTAACTCTGTAAAAACAAATAAGAATAAAATTCTTTACTTTCTATAAAGAAATTAGGAAATAAATATAAAAAAAAAGAGTAAAATGCAAAGATCATTAAAATTAATTAAAACATTTTTAACATATATAAAAAAAGAAAAATATAATAATATACAAAATTAAAAAAAAAAAAAAAAAGAAAAGAAACTGTCTTAATCAATATATTTAAAATAATGATAAAATTAAAATAATAAAAATATAAAAATAATTTTATTGTGTAAAATATATTAAAAAAAAAAAAAATTCCTTTTTTTCTTTAATTACAAAATTTGCTTAAATAGGTTAATTGAGAAACTAATCAATTCATCAGATATAGAAACAAAATGTAATTTGAGTATACCATTAGAATTATTCTTATTCTTACTAAGATCACATAATAATAATAAAATGGAATTTTTTTTATCATCAAAATGATAATTAGTGTATAATATAATATATGATTTGAAATGAAAAATATTAAATGAATTACTTAATTTTAATACATTAATAAATTCATGGAGGTTTGAAAAACTCATCATATTATAAAAATAGGTTTTATAATAATATTTACTAGCAGAGTAACTTTTTATAAAATTATTTAAATATAAGCTACTTGGTTTAAAAAATAATACATGAACAAAAGGTAATGATATTTTAAATTTAATAGTTGTATTATCATTAATCAAACATTCAATATTTAGAAATAATGGTTGGTTATTTAAATAATTGCTTTTAAAAGATAACTTATATAATAAACATATTTCATTTTTTTTTAAATAAATATAATCATTATCGTCCGTTACCTTATTATTATTATCATTCTTTTTTAAATATTTTTTTATTATTGTAATGTTGTCTATTTTATTTTCATTTATATTACCTTTTATATACATTATATTATAAAAGGTAGATTTTATATATATATTTAAATATATATTTTTGTTATTTTGATCTCCAAAAATATTCATATGTCCTGATTTACGTATATACTTTTTTTGGTTATAATTGTCCTTAAAATAAAAATTAGTATATATTTCAATAAATGCATTTTTAAAAATTAATCCCTTTAAATTTTTTAGATAAAAATTTCTCAAAAGTTTTTTATGATTATTTATTTCTTCATTTGATATAAATTTTGAATTAATTTTCTTGTATAAATAATTGTCTAAAAACGAAATATTATGTTCTTTTTTTTCACATTTATTTATTATTTTTTCTAAATTATTAAAATAACTTTTTTTCTGTATATTTACTAAATGACTATATTTGTCATCACTTTTTGATAATATTGTTTCTTTTAAGTTTCTAGAAACTTTTAAAAAATAATTAAATTTTTTTTCAAAATTTCTGTAATCACTTAAATAATCATTCGTATTTTTTTTATTTATATCATATAAATACTCAGAACTGTGAAAATTTAAATAATTATCTTCATTCTTTCTGTCATTTTCTTTTTTTTCTTTTTTTATTTTATTTTTTTCATCTTCTATGTAAAGAGAATAATTTTCATTATTTAATTTTTTTTTGTTTTCTTTATTTTTAACATTCAGAGAATTTTTATCACTTATATTAATGTTTTCCTTTATATCTTTTTTATTATCTATTTCAAAAGTACTTTGATTCTGTTCAATATTACTACTATATTTATCACTACTGGATGCAGAATAATCATTATATATATGTTTGTTTTTTTTTTTTTTATAATTATGTAAATTTTCTTTTTGATATCTACCTTTCATTTCAGTAAAAATATCATTACTATTATTTTTGCTAATATCATTATTAGAATAACTAATATTGCCACTATTTTCGTCGAAGAATTCATCATCATAACTCTTATCACAATTATTTATTTGGTTATTGTTTATAATATCTTTAATTTTTTCTTGTCTTGTTTTATTCTCTGTATCTTTTTTTTTACTTTTATCTCTTTTTTTAATATTAAAGGAAAATGTGCTATTTGTAATATTATTTATTATGTTTTGACTTGATAAAGTTTCACTAAAATTACTTTTTTCATCATTTACTAATGTTATATTATTAATATCATTTAAATGGATATTATTTCTTTTCTCTTCTTTTTCTTTAATAATTGAGTGATCTTCTCCATATTTATAGTCACTTTTTTCATTCAAATTGATATTGTATTTTTGACAATTGCTTAATGTTTTATTATCATCCATATTTAATTCATGTAAATAATTACGTACATTTTTTTTTTCTTTTTTACTTGAATCATTATCAGCATTATTTTTTTTATTTTTTTTAGATGTAATATATTTTTTATATTGATGTATTAAAAATTCACCATTTATTGTTTCATTTGAGTTTTTGTTTTTATCAAATAATTTATTTCTATGTATGTATTTATAATTTTCTGAAAAATTATTTTCACAATCATTGTTATATTCGACTAATGTATTATCTTTATCAGAATTATTCTCCTTTTTATAACATGAGTTAGGCAAATAATCAGTGAATTCTAAATTTAAATTCCTTTTTTCCTCATTTGTTAAGCATTTTTTAAAATTAAAATATTCATTTATGCTGTTATGTTTATCGTAATTTATCATATTATGATTTAATTTAGTTAATAAATCATTATAATTATCTAACTTATATTTAAAAATATTCATGTTAAACTTTTTGATATTAAAAAATTTAAAAGGATTATCAATGTTACTATAGTTAAAATGATTTATGCGTTCTAACAAAAATAAAAGATACGATAATAATTTTTCATTTTTAAATTGTGCATTTTGCAATTGGAATAGCAGATTATTTATTTTATTGTTAAGATTATTATTAATTTGACTTGTATCCTTTAATTTTATTTTATATTCGTTAAAGGTAGTATTTAATTTAGAAATTTCTTGAGATAAATAATTATTCTCTTTTTTATTTTCTTCAAAAAGTTTTTCTGTTTCGCTAATTTTTTTATTTTCTTTTAACAATTTTTCTATTTTGTTATTTTTTTTTTTAATAATTTTTTCAATTATTTTAATTATTTCTTTTTTTTCATCAATAATTTCTTTTAATTTATTATTTATTTCTATATAATTTTCGTTATCCAATTCTAAAAGCATCACAGTTTTATCTAATTCTTCAATTTTCTTTTCATTTTCTTTATTCTTGTTTTCGTAAAATATTTTTTCCTTATTACAAATACTGTACAATTCTTTGTATAAATTTATATTATTTTCTTTTATTATTTCTGCCTCATAATCAAATTCGTTATTTTTCAATACAATATTCATAATTATATAAGAATAATTGTTTGAAACTTCCATATTATGAGATCCATTTTTTTTTTCCTCTTTTATATTATTACTGCCTTTCATTAAAGAATTATTTGCGTTTTCAAAATTTGCAAAATTACTAGTATCATTTAGATTATTGAAAAATCTAAAATTATTAGTTTGATTTGTTTTATAATAATTATCAAAATAATTATTTAAACCTACAGATGTATTAGACATATATTTTGTAGAATTATAGATATCCATTTCCTTGTTATACACATTTTTAATATTGTCATAATAATTGATAAAATTATTATTTTTATTAAATATATCTATATTACTATTTCCTTCATTCCGTTCTTGAGAGTATAAATTTTCATGAACTTCTGTTAATAAAAATGCTGTTGGTGCAAAGAATTTAGTTTTCTTCAAAATTGTTTTATTTAAATTTATTAAACAGGTGTAGTAGTATGCATTACTTTCAGAATCAATAATATCAACAGATAAAAATAGTTGTTGGCTGTAAAGAATGGGAAATTCAAATAATTCTGATACATTTATAGAAAATTTTTCAACAGTTTTTTTCTTACTACTTTTTTTTATATTTACTTTATTATCTAATGATTTCAATGTTAAGTAAATATAAACGCTTTTTACATCTAATAATACATTTATAATTTCTGATATATGAACTATTATAATTAATGGATTATCTAAAGAATATTCTGTGTTCAAATTATATGTTTTATCTTGATAATTGTGTTTCAAATAGTTATTTTTATTTGAATTTAATTCATTATCATATATGTAATTATTCCCGATATCTAGTAAACTTTCTGTTTCTATATTATTTGTATATTTTTTTTTTTTTTTTTTTTTTTTTTTTCTTTCATTGGAATCATATATATCATTGACTGCTTCACTACTTAAGCTACGTGTATTATAAAAAGTTTCAACCTCCTTGTTAAAAGAATCTTTTGATCCTAGCTGAAAGAAATATTTATCATTAATATCTTTTTCTACACATTCATCTTCATTTAAGTCATAACTTTTTTCTTTTTCTTTTTCTTTTCCTTTTTCTTTTTTCTTCTTTTTTCTTTTTTCATATTCTTTTTTTCTACTTTTATTTTCTCTTTTTCTTATATCATCAATTTTTCTACTCGAACTTTTATATTTTTTTTCTGTTTCAATTTCATTTTCACTTTCTTCATGAACATTTTTATACTTTTTATCTTTTTTTTTTGAACTTCTCTTTTCTTTAGAGTGCCTATGTTTTTTTTTTATATCCTCTTTTGTTTCATTAGTAAATTTTATATTGTTAGTATTATGTGATATTTTTGAAGTTTCTTCTTTTTTGTTTTTTTCATAGTTTTCAAAAAGCTTTACAGATTTATCAACTTCAGTAGATACCTATTATATGTTTTAATTGATGATGTAGAAGGAAAAAAAAAAAAAAATAAATAATATAAAAATAATGAAAAAAAAGATTTATAATTAAGCTTGATCATATATTTATATTATTTTTTATTTTATATATATATATATATATATATATATAATAAGTAAATAAAATATAAAAACGTAATATACTTCTACTAATTCTTCAAACAGTTTTGCATTTCCTTTTTCCAGAGCTTCTAATGTTAGTTTTTGCAATGAAATTAAATCTCTAAAGAAAAATAAGAAAAAAAAAATATTTTTATATGACATAATAACGGTACATTATTTTATGAATAAATTTCAATTTTACTTTACAGTTTTCTTACTTTTTACACTTCGTATATATATCTCTTATTATATCAATATCTATATAAATAAAAAATATAAATTTAAATATATTAATTTAAATTTATATTTCTTTTTTAAATAAAAACGTAACATAAAAAAAAAATAATATAAATTATTAAAAGTATACTATTCTAGTAACCCGTTGAGTTAGATTGTACACATGCTTCTAACTGTTTTGCTAACTCTTTAAAATTAGAAATATTTTGCTTTATGTTCTTCATTATTAAGAATTTCAAATTGATAAAATTAATGCCTTTTCTTAGTTTTTTTACAAATGTGTTCGTTTAACATTTTTTATATGTTTATAAGAAAAAAAAAAAATGATTCTACTACATAAATATAAACAAGAATTGTTATTTCATTTATTAAAAATCAGTTAATAGAAAAAAATAAAATATAATTAAACTGCTTTCTAAATGGTAATATTTATGTTAATATAAAAAAAACAAAGGTAAAAAAACAGTAAGTATTTTGGTTGTGAAACTTTTTTTTTTAGAGGTTTTTTTTTCTTTTTTTTTTTTTTTTAAATCTCTTTGAAACATCTATAAACATTTTTTTTTTTTTTAGTGTTTATCTTTAATTTCTCAAAAAAAACACATTTATATTAATTTATGTATAATTTCCGTTTTTATATTTTCTCTATAATGTTTTTTTTATTGAATATAATAACGTATGAATGCTTTTAGTACGAGTTATGAACAGTGTTTGTAATAACTTAAAAAATTTTCATTTTTACTTGCTCTTTTATTTGATATATTTATCCATTATGCACTATTTTGCATTTTTTTTTAATTAAAAAAAAAAAAAAAGGAAAAAAATAAAATGAGTAAAATATATATAAGGGCAAAAGAATGTGAAAAATTTTCTATATATATATGTTGTATATAATATATAATAAAAATAAAATTATTAAAATCATAAAAATATAATTAAAATAAAGTTCTAAAAATAAATGTAAAGATATAAAACCAAAATTTAAAAATGAGTGTAAAAATAAAAGTATAATAATTATATTTAAAAGGAAAATGTAAATATAAAAAAGGCGGAAACTAATAAAATTAAAACAGAAGAAAAAAAAGATAAAAAAATAACATGAAAATGTAAAATTAAAAATGTAAGCATACAGATATATATATAAATTGTAAAAGTACACATGATTAAAATGTAGAAATGAAAATAAAAAAAAAAAAAAAAAAAAAAAAAAAAACAATTTCTTTAAATTTTTATATTTAAATTTAAATCATATATATAGGGTTTTTGAGGTTAATAAGTTTTTCATATTAAAGTGTTGATTCCTAAATATAAAAAAAAAATAAAAATAAAAATAAAATAAAATTTCTCCATTTATTATATATAAATGTGTGTAAAAAGATAAATTCTTACCAAATAAAAGAAGAGCATTTTCAGGTGTAAACTTTGCAGATATTAAATTTGAATAATTAACTCCATAAGATTTTGATAATTTAACATATGGGAAATTATTTACTTTTTTTGACTTTTCTAATTTTATTTTTTTAGTTTCTACGGAACTTTTTATCTCTTCTGATACTAAAAAAAAAAAAATGTGAAACGAAATAAAATATATATATATATATATATATATATATATATATATATATATATATATATATATATATATATTTAAATTTTTTAAAAGGAAACATAATTTTCCTTTTATTTATTGTTTTTTATTTATATAAAAGTATTTTATTTTATTTTTTTTTTTTTTCGTTTTACCTTTGGAACAATTGTAAAAATCAATGAAATTATTACATGACATTGAAACTAAAAGATTATTATCATAACTGAAATCTATATCTAAAATTTTGTCATCATAACTGTTCGAATTATTTTGAATTTGTGATTTTTCTTTTTCTTTTAAAATATTATTATCTGAATAATTGTCAAATGATTTAATGTAATTAAAACATTCATTATTATATTCTTTTGAGTTAATAGTTTCTTTCATCTCTACATCAATAAATTTATCCATTGCTAAATCAATTAGGTTGATGTTATTTGTATAACCTCCTTTAAATAAAATAAATATAAAATATAAGTTAGAAATAAATAATAAATATAAATTAAAAAAAAAAAAAAAAAAAAAAAAGAAAAAAAATAAATACCTGCATAAGATAGTAACCTCCCATTTTTTGAAAAAGCCAATGAAGTTACTCCTTGACTACTAGGATAGTTGTTTTTGAATCTTTTAATAAAAGAATTTACTCGAACATCATATAAATGAACATAATTATCTAAAAAAAAAAAAATATAAATATGTATATATATAATGGCATTAAATATATATATATATATATATATATATTTCTTTATTTACCATAATATCCACATCCTATTAGTGTATTGTTGTAATGATATTTACAAATATTAGCAGAACAATTATATTTATAAGTAATAAAAGGATAAGTTTTATTAGTTGAATATATCCTTAAGTTTCCATCATCTTCACCAGAACAAAAAAAAAATCCTAAAAAAGCTGTATCTATAGACCAAATTGGTGTATTACCACCTACATATTTGACATAATTTTTATTATTAATTGTACTATATAAATATATATCCCCATTTATATTTCCTGATAAAAGAATTTTATTTGTTTCACCAAAACATAAACTAGATACATTATAAATATTTCCATATAATTTTGATATCCCATTTTCATACTCTTTTAAATCTGTAAATATATTTTTACTTTCTTTCATATCTTCATATTTTCTAATTTCATCATCATCTATTCTATTATCTTCTAAATCTTTCTTTTCATTATTTAATTTATTCATTTGTGATTGCTTAATATTCCATAACTTAATTATATTATTAGAATGAGCTGTTGCTACAAATGATCCATCAAAACCAGATATTTCTGCACAGGTTAGATCATTGCAATTATTCAAACAATAATAAAGAATACTTGGAATTCTATTTTTAGTCACTTTTAATCTATTGCTTGCTTGTGTTTTTAATATATGTTTATAATAAAAATATGCATCACTACTTTCATTTGGTATATAGCAATTTTCTTTTGTTTCTTTTACTAATTTGTTATTTTCATCCTATATTATCATCAAAAATAAAATTTGAATATATATGTTCACATAATTAAATATATAATTTTACAATATATATATATATATAATTAAAAATATAATAAAGAAACATTTTTATGTTCTTTTTCTTACTTCTACAACTTCATCTTTAATAGAATATATGGAAGGTAGATTCCATTGAATTGGAAAACTTAAACTTATATTTTGAAAAAAGTTAGCAGACACAAATGCATAAAAAAAATTAAAATATTTATCGGAATCATCAACTTCTATCATTTTAATTTTTGTGGTAATTAAATTATACAATAAAATACCTTCATACACATTTAAATATTGAAATAATGATTTTTTTCCTAATCTAAAGAAAAAAAAAAAAAAATATGTTTTTTTTTTTTTAATTTTTTTTTTTTTTTTTTCTAAAAATTTGATGTTATGCACATATATATAAACATATATATTTATTTATTTACTTAGTCATGTGAACAATGTGTTTTGAATTTTTTTGTTTAAAACGAATCAATGATATTTCAAATACTTGACTTAAACTAACACAATTTTCCAACATTTTTGTTACCGGTTCATAAGCAAAAAATTTATTTATATATTTATTTTTAAAATCATTTAAATTATCATAATTATTAGTTAATAATAAAATATATATTTCCAAAAATAAACAAAAAGCAATATTATACAACTGCAACTTAATTTGAATTAAATTATTATCACACCAATTCATAAAAATATCAAAGCAATTTATTAAATCAGACATTTTAAATTTTTCCTTTTCTATATCTATTTGTTTTTCCGTAGGCGTAGAACATATTGTTACGTTTATATTTCTACTTATATTATTTATTTTATCTTTTAATATATCTAAAACATTTTTATCTATATTTAAACTATTTAATATATTATCTAGTGACATATTTTTAAGAGTATCTAAATCACACATATTTCCTCTAACATAAGTTACATTTACACTTTTCTGATCTTTTTCATCAATTACATTTCCAAATAATTTGTTTAAAGCCATTAATTTTTCATCATTTTCTACTTTTTCAGGGGTATAATTAAATGAAACATTTTGCTGATTATTGTTTTTTTTTAATTTTCTAGAAACTGAATCATCCATATTATAAAAATCATTTACTTCCATTGTATTTTTATTATCTAAAAAAATCTTATTTGAATTATTTTGATCATAATTTTCTAATAAAATTTGTTTTTTATTCATACTATTTTCCTCTGCTAATCCCAAGTTTATATTTAAGTTAGATACACCAATACTTTTATTATTATTATTATTATCATTAGTAGTATTGTTAATATTTATGGAATTAAATCCTGAATTATTAAATGAATTTTGTTGTGAATTTTCTCTATAATTAAATAATACACTGTTATAATCAAAATTTTGTTTATTTCCTTCAAAATTTTCTTCTAATACTTCTTTTGGTTCATTTTTAGGAGTTTCGACCTTCTTTTCTTTATTTTTTTCTTCTTTTTTTTCTCTTTTTTTTTTTTTTTTTTTCTCTTCTATTTCTTGTTCAACACCTTTTAAATTTTCTAAATCACTTTTCGACTTAATATTATAATTTTGATTATAATTATTTATAATATTTGTTGTTCTATTGTAGTTGATATTATTATTGTTATTATTTTTACCTAACATTGGATTTTTATTAAAAAATTGAATGTTATTATTAATCATGTTATCAAACGGAATAGTATTATTTTTTTTTAATTCTTCATACATCATAGTTTTATTCATATACATAGTGCTGTTATCATTATTTATTTTATTATTCATAGGATTATTGTCCATGTTATTTATTTTGAGTATTTTACTTTTTTGTTGATCAGAAATTTTTAATGGTTTGGAATTATTTGTCGTTATCTTTTTAACAGAAATGTATCTTTGTTTATTGTTTTCTTTTGATATTTCCTTTAGAATATCAGTTTGATTCATATAATTAAATGCATCCTTCTGATTTAATTTATCATTCATGGATAATTTATAAATATCGCAGTTTTCCATATTGATTAAATTGTTGTTTTTTGCATTCATTAATTTTTTCTTTTCATTTATCTTATGAATAGATGTGGGCAAATTAGGATTTTCTGAAATAATTTGATTTGGTTTCATTTCCATTATATTGTTAAACCTTATGTTTTTATTTTCATTAGTAATTTTCATTTCTTTTAAATTTTCTAAATTTTTATAAGCTTTAACATCAAACATATTATTTTGTTTCATGAAAAACTGCTTTGAATTATTAAAATTTTTTTCTGTTAAATTATTATTATTACTATTATTATTAATGTTATTATTTACATTATATGGCTGATAATTCATTTCTTCATTAAATATTATATTGTCTGTTTCATTTATATTCATATTGCTGTAATCTATATTTTTTGATTTCATATTAATTTTATTGTCCATCATACTTTCTATATTGATGTTGTTTATCTCATTATTATTAAAATTATACATTTGATTTATATTTTTAGAATTCACTAAATTTAAATTTAGAGATTTGTATAACGATGGGTCTATATTTTTCACGTTTCTTGGAAGCATATTATTTTTATTGTTTTCTTGATTAAAGTTATTTAATTGCTTGGATGAAATAAACAAATTTTCTTTTTCGTTTTTATTTAATAAGTATTTTTCCCTCTTATAAATATTTTCTAAATATTCATTTTCTCTAAAATGTTGTATATTACTTTGATTATCCTTTATGTTATTTATTTTATTATTCATAGGAATCATATTATTCTCTATGTTTTTCATCTCATTTAAATAAAACCTATTCATGTTGGAAGCATCAGAAGTAATAAAATGATTATTATTCATATTATTCTTAATAATCATTTTATTACTTAAATTATTCATAATGTTTTTCGAATCATCTGTATTGACTTTTTTATCATTATTTAATTTATTACCCATGTCCATATTATTTTTTATTAAGTTATAATTCATATTATTATAATTATAATTTAAATTATTCATAATGTTTTCTCTTAAATTGCTATTATTATTCATCATTTTTTTAATACTTAAATTATTAGCTATATCACTATTCATGTTCATGTTATTTTTCATATTCATATTATTAGAAACATTATTATTCATGCTATTATTTACAATATTCGCATTCATGTTATTTGATATATTAATATTCATATTACTCCTATTATTAGGTATGTTATTCCTATTATTAGGTATATTACTTCTGTTATTAGGCATATTATTCATGTTATTTGATATTTTATTCATGTTGTTATGCATATTATTCATATTACTGGGTATATTATTCAAACTATTAGATATATTATTCATATTATTATGCATATTATTATGTATATTATTCATATTATTATGTATATTATTCATATTAGTGTGAATGTTATTCATATTAGTGGGTATATTATTCATACTAGTGGGTATATTATTCATACTAGCGGGCATATTATTCATATTGGTAGGCATATTATTCATATTGGTAGGCATATTATTCATTTTAGTAGGTATATTATTCATTTTAGTAGGTATATTATTCATATTAGTTGGTATATTACTCATATTAGTTGGTATATTACTCATATTAGTAGGTATATTATTCATATTAGTAGGTATGTTTTTCATATTAGTAGGTATGTTTTTCATATTAGTAGGTATGTTTTTCATATTAGTGGGTATATTATTCATATTAGTGGGTATATTATTCATATTAGTGGGTATATTATTCATATTAGTGGATATATTATTCATATTAGTGGGTATATTATTCATATTAGTGGGTATATTATTCATATTAGTGGGTATATTATTCATATTAGTGGGTATATTATTCATATTAGTAGGTATATTATTCATTTTAGTAGGTATATTATTCATATTAGTTGGTATATTACTCATATTAGTAGGTATATTATTCATATTAGTAGGTATGTTTTTCATATTAGTAGGTATGTTTTTCATATTAGTGGGTATGTTTTTCATATTAGTGGGTATGTTTTTCATATTAGTGGGTATATTATTCAAATTGTTATGCATATTACTCATACTAGTGGATATATTATTCATATTATTATGCATATTATTCATATTAGTGGGTATGTTATTCATATTATTAGGTATATTATTCATATTAGTGGGTATGTTATTTACACTATTAGTTATATTATTTATGCTATTAGGCATATTTTTCAAAGCGCTCGAAATATTATTTAAATTATTTGGAATGTTATTCATTTTGCTAGGTATATTGCTCATATTTCCAGATATATTATTCATATTATTAGTTAAATTCAAATTATTATTTATATTATTGCTTGTATTATTATTAATATTGGTGAGGTTATCATTACTGTTATTACTAAAATTATTATTCATATTACTAAAATTATTAAAATTAGCAAAATTTATATAACTATTAACATTATTATTACTGTCATTAATTTTGCTTATGCTTTGATTATTATTATAATTATTCATATAAGTATTTTTGTTATCAATAAATACTTTTTTATCCTTTTTTAAATCATTATTTTCCATTTCTTATTTTATTTTTAATATGATATTAATTTAATTTTTTGAATATTATGTTTTCATTGTTATTACTTTTAAAAAAACAGGAGTAAAATCATTAAATTATAGCACAAAATTAAATTTTTTACTTTTTTCTTTCTTGATTTTAATTTTATTTTTTATAATTATAATATATTTTAATTTATATATTACATATATCCATGAAAAAAAGAAAAAAAAATGAGTTTTTCATTAAAATAATATTCTTTTTAAAAACTTACACATAATTATTGCATTATATTTTTATTTTATGAATTCAGTAATTAAAATTTATTTTGAAAAACATTATTATTAATGATTTTTTTTTTAATAAATATCTGTATTTGTAATTAAAATTTTTTCTTTTTTAAAAATAAAATTGTTAAAGTAAATTTTTCTATTATATATATTTTTATTTGAAAGTATATTTTTCTTATTTTTAATGAATTTTAACAAATTTAACTTTTTTTTTATTTTTTTTTTTACATATATACTAATTTTTCAAGTTCATAGAAAATTTTAACATTGCTATAAAATTTTTTATTATTTTTCGTTCTTTTTTCTTTTTTTTCTAAAGCACAATTTAAACATATTTTACTTCCAAAAATTAAAAAAAAAAAAATCTTATGCAAGAATTGTTTAACTTTTTTTAAATTATAAATACATACATAAATGTATTAAAAAAAAAAAGTTAGGCATGCTTTTACTTTTTATTTTTTTTAAAAAAGTGAATTTCACATTATATATAAAAGTCTACAAAATTCATAAAAAAAGTTCTAAAATTCAAAACATTGTAATAATTTACAAAAAAAGTGTAGCAGTTATTTTATACATTATTTAAATAATGCTTTAATGAAAAATTATTATCTTTGCTATTTATAAAAATAATTTAAATATGAATAAAATGAACCATATTTTTTCATAGTATAAAAAATATGCATTTAATATAATTTTATGAAAATAATGTTAAATAATTTAACTCATTATAAAAAGACGGAAAAAGATCGAAAAATGTTATTAATTCTGATGTTTTAATAGAAAAGTTATAAAATTTTTTGATTTTTCATGTAGCTAAATAGTTAATGTTAAGAACAATAATAAAAATGAAAAAACAATTTCATTTAAATTCTTTATAAATTTGTGAAAACCTACATTTTTAAATACAAAAAAGTAAATAAAAAGAGAACAAAAAAATGTACTTTACATATTCATTTTTAATAAAATGAGAACAAATAAGAGATAGAAAGAATTTTCAAAATAAAATTTTCAAAAAATATATTTAAATAAAAAAAAAATTCCTTTTTTCTATTTATTAACATTCTGATAAAGAAATTTTTGTCGCATTAAAAAAAAGAAAATTCATTATACTATTTTTTTAACTTTTTATAAGGAATTTTTCTCATCAATACATAATTTTTATTCTTTATTACCCATGAGTGCTTTATAACTATTAAATTTTTTATTTATTTATATTTGTTTTTTTTTTTTTTTTTTTTTTTGGATAATATTGAGCACACATTTTTATAATGAAACAATACTAATTCATGAATGCCCTTATTTTAGAAAATAATTAAGAAAAAATACTAATTGAAAATATAAAATATCCCTATGAAATAAGTAAAAATAAAAAAAATTAATATGTAATGTTTTTTAAATAAAAAGTGAATTGAAATAAGTATAAATTTTTATCTAATCTTCATATCAATTAAAGGAACTAAAATTTTACTGAAATGTTAGCATTTCATAATGAACATTTTTCATGATTATATTAATTCTCTATGTTAGATAATTTATGTAAAATGTATTGTTGATATCTCATTGGTATTTTTTTATGTACTGCTTTTTTTAAAACTTCATTATAATATTTAAATAATTGAAATGGTGTATTATTTCTAATTCTTTATTTAAGAATTATTTTCATTTAAATTCAAATAAAAAAATATTTATTGATTCATTATAAACTATATTTTATTTTGATAGATTTTAAAATTACAGATTTCTTTTTAATAATTATTAAAAGAATAATATATTTTTTTTTTTTTTTTTTTTGAATGTATGAAAACAAAAGAAAATATGTATACTTATTTTTTTAAAAATTTTTATTGTATTAATATTTTTCTATTTTTATAAAATCTTATAAGAAAAAAAAAAAATTAAATTGCATTATCTCCTTGATCTAAGTCATTTAAAGCACTATTATAAGTTAACATTTGTGCATTACTGTAAAATTATGCGATAAAATTCAAAAAGAATATTTACAATTTTTTTAAACTAATATGTTAGAAATTATTAATAAATTATATTTCACAATTTTACTATTCTTTTAAGCTTTATAAAATTAATTTTTGTATCACTTTAATGAGGGTGTTTCAATAAAACTTACAACTTGGTGTTTACAAAAAAAAGCAATGTATAAAGTATTTTTTTTATAGAGTTGGTATACTTTTTTTTGCCACATCTTTTATATTTATATAAGAGACATCTCAATGTAATAAGAGACAAATATATTATTATTTTTTTTTTTTTTTTCTTTATTGAATATATTCTAATATAAAATTAAAAATTTTACTTTTTTTTTTAAATGATATTAAATATTTTTTCCTTTTAAAAAAAAAATAATTATAAAAGAATATTAAAATTTTTTTTTCGTTAAGTAGATTCTTTCTTTTTTTAAACAATATTCAAATGTTTGGAAAAAATATATTATTTTTTTTTTTCTTTTTTTTTTTTTTTTTTTGATATTCTAATAATATATGTAACAACGCTTATGTGCATTTTTTATAAAGAAGAAATTTATTTTTTGTAGATATACTTTTTTTTTTTTTTCTGTTTTACATATAATTCAGATCTTAGTTTAAAATTGTGGTATATGAAGAATGTAATAAATTCAAGTATTTTGCAAAAAAAATTATTTCCAATTAATCAATAACGCCTATTTTTTACAAATAAATATAAACCAAACCTATCAACTTAAGAAAATAGAAGTGCATAGGAGATTCATTATTTAAATTAACTGAAATAGTTCCTTCTACTTATTAGTTTTATTATTTAATAAATCAATGATCATTAATTTCATAAAAATATATAAGTACCAAAAAAAAAAAAAAATTATTGTTATTCATAGAGATTCTGTGAATCAAAGTATGCAACCAAAAAAAAAAAAAAGATAAAAGAAATTATAATTACAAATATATAATATAAATAAATTTTTTTTTATTTAATTCTTAAATAAAAATAATTAAAAAAAGAAGAATATATAAAGCATTTCATTAATAAAACAAGAATGTTAATAAAAATTATTATTTATGTGCTACTAGCTTTTTTTTTTTTTTTTTTTTTTTTTTTTTTTTTTTTTTTTTTTTTTTTTTTTTTTTTTTTAAAATTTTTTT